GCTATTATTAGTGTGTATGTTAGAACATGTAAAAAATAGAACTCTGAGAAGGATAGAAATGATAAATATTAGAATTTCTGATATTTTCTTCCTACATTTTATTGGATAATCTTAGAAACCCAGTTTGGAATCCATTGCTGTATGTTGAAGACTTGTGCCCTTTAAGTTTCTTCCTTCCTTTTCATGGACTCTCCAGAGGAGAGCCTATAATCGTATATACTTGATCTATCATGTTGGACTAGAAGCACTTAGTTTTAGTATAGAGGAGGTTTATGTTAAGAGAAAACTAGGGAAATCCCCCTGTGTTCTGTCCACAGTCTTCCTCAGAGGTAAGCACTGCACCCCAACTAGTTTGATGTGCTATCTGTAGTCTTCCTGGCTTTTTAAAAATGTATATATATGTTCACTTTCTGTGTCAAGTAGAATTACATGTATATTTGTATGCATGCACATATTATATGTGTATATAAAATAGGAGTTATACCATGTGAATTTCTCTAACGTTTATTCCACTTAATGTATCATGAAGTATAAGATAGTGACTGTGACTGATATATGGATTCAGGGAGCCTGATTGTTTAGGTGTTAATCCAGGCTCTGCCACTTACTAGCTGCCTTTCAAGGTTCCAGTTTCCCTAAAATATGTAAACTTCCTCTGCTGATAGATATTTACATTGGAATCTCTAGAAGGATCTTTGCTTACTTTGCATTCTAAAGGTGGTCTAGGCACAATGGGTGACAACAAGAAGCTTCAAATGGGCTTTTTTTTTTAGCTACCTTGTTTCCCTGTGACTCATCTCTGCTTTTCTCATTGAAGTGTGTTTGCTACCCTCCAGTGAACCACCTGGTTTGCAGGTGGCACACAGCTCTTCCTAATGTGTGCTATAGGTGTCATCCATAAGCTAGTGCTCTTAAAAAATTCTCTGTGAATCCAAAGCCTTGTAAATTTTGAAAATTATTTTCTATCCAAAGATTTTGAAGGGTTAATTTACAGATATAATAGAGAAACGAATAAAGGTTATTATATAAACTTAAGCATTTTTACTTTATTATGTTATTGTGTTACTAGAGGCCCGGTGCATGAAAATTCGTGCACTTGGCGGGGGTGGGGGGGGGGTCTCTCAGCTTGGCCTGCGCCCTCTCAGGGGAGGTCCACCTGCCAGCTTAGGCCTGCGGGAAGCAGGCCTAAGCCACAGTCGGACATCCTTAGCGCTGCTGTGGAGGCAGGAAAGGCTCCCTCCACTGTCTTTGCACTGGCCAGCCACGAGCCAGCTTCTGGCTGAGCGGCACTCCCCCTATAGAAGTACACTGACCACTGGGGGGCAGTTGCTGTGCTGAGCGTCTGCCCCCTGGTGGTCAGTGCGCATCATAGCAACTGGCCATTCCAGGTAGTTCTAGGGTCAATTTGCATATTACCCTTTTATTATATAGGATTGTGAACAATATCTAGCTGAGAAACCAAAGGCTACAATTATTTATAAGAATTACTCTTTTGCCCAGCCTGTGTGGCTCAGTGCTTAAATGTTGACCTATGAACCAGGAGGTCGGTTTGAGTCCCTGTCAGGGCACGTGCCCGGGTTGTGGGCTCCATCCCCAGTAGGTGTCATGCAGGAGGCAGCCAGTCAATGACTCATTCATCATTGATGTTTCTCTCTCTCTCTCTCTCCTCCCTTCCTCTCTGAGATCAATAAAAATGTGTTAAAAACAAAAAAAGAATTATCCTTTTGGAGAGGCACTGGGTAATCGTGTTCACCATCTTATATCTTCATATTTTAAATTGGTGATACTACCAAATTGACCTATAAATATAACTCAGTGTTTTAAAATTTCTGCTTGTTTTTTGCAGAAATTGGCAAAATGTTCCTAATATTGATATGGAGATGAAAAGAACCTAAATAGCCAAAACTATTGAAAAATAATAAAGTCGAAGGACTTATATTTCCCAATTTCAAAACTTGCTACAGACTTACAGTAATTAAAACTGGTACTCTCATAAGGTATAATAAAGACCAATGGAATCAAATTGAGAATCCAGAAATGGACCAATATATTTATGATCAATTGGTTTTAAACAAGTATATCAAGACAATTCAGTGGGGGGAAGAATAATCTTTTTCAACAGGTGGTGTTGGACAGCTGGATATCCACATGCAAAAGAATGAAGTAGGGTCCTTCACTACTACATATATAAATTTTTAACTTAAAATGGATCAAAGACCTATATGTAAGAGCTAAAATTACAGAACTCTTGGGAGAAAAAATAGGTGTAAATTTATAAGTAAGCTTGGTTTAGTCAGGCAATGGTTTCTTAGATATGGCACCAAAAGTCAAAGAAACTAGATCAATTGGATTTGATCAAAGTTTAAAATTTTTGTGTTTCAAGAAAATGAAAAGACAACCCACAGAATGGAAGAAAACCACATATCTAATAATGTGTTAGCATCAAACCAAGGCAAAGTCTCTATTTCCCCCTATCTTTAAATTTCTACCATTTCATATCAGTGCATTGAATTCCATATCACCATATATTTTTAGAGAGATTTGTGTGTGATCATGAGTCCAATAACCCTCCCTGCCCTCTGCCTACAAAGGAAATGCTAGATACAGTCCTTTACCATTTTTAAGGGGAGAAACTGAAGATACTAGATTAAACACTAATCTGAAGCTTAAAAACTATTATTTAATAGATGTCAGGACAAAATTATATTTAATTTACATTATATCCCAGAATAAAGTACTTAATGTTATATTTTTTAATTTACATCCCAGACCTTCAGTGCTCCTTGTCATGAGGTTAATAGAAAAATTCTTTGTGTGTCATATGTCTGTTTTTAGCCAATCAGAAGCCAGAATTCTCTTGTATGTAATAATAGGGCTTATTGTTTGGAGAGGAGCTGTAAGTAGGACTTTTGAGTTTTGAGTACAGGAATATAGAATCCTGTCTTTTTAGTTACAGGTTTAAAAATGTTATTCATTCTTAATGCTGCTTAAAGTAAAAGCCTTTAATTACTACTTTTACTTTTGATGAAACAATTTAATGGGCTTCAAAGGAAAATATTTTAAAAATAGGAGGGAGAGAGAATTTTATGAATATGTCTTCAAGGTTTTCTTCATCTTTACCGATTTTCGTCTCACCTGAGCCAATTGACTTAGGTTCTGTAACAAGTTCCTCTTGTTCACTGAATGAGCTAGACAATATTTCCCATCTTTTAAGGAAAATATCAACTGATATCAATGAAATTAAAGAAATGAAAACAGCAATGTTGACAGCGGAAGCAAATCTTTTTGATCTAAAAGTTAGAGTGTCACAGAATGAAGCAAAAATTTCGTCTTTGGAGGTTAAAATGAATGAATATTCAACATCAACAGCTGAATGCGACAGAGAGTTCAAAGGTCTTCAAGAGGAAGTAGATTTTGAGTCACAGTCAAGGACTACTGATGTAAAAATAATTGGCTTCCTTAGCAACATTGAGAAAGGTAAATTCTTAATATGATAGCTTCTAGGTACCCACGGTGCTATATATTTTCCTGTAACCTGACTAGTTCTCATACAGAGGCAGCATGTCACAAAGAGCTTGAAAGTTTTCGTGGACCTTTAATGACAAAATTGGACCCTGCATGATTTAACGTAGAAGTTTAGAACTTAACCAGAATTCCGTCCTCTCTAGTGGATCTCTCTGAAATGATGTGCTGAAAAGATAGGTGAGCATAGAGAGATGAAGCAAAAGTTGACATATGAGAAAACGGTCCCTTTTTTTTGTATCTGTCTTGGGAATTTTTTTTTAAATGTAAGACCTGTTGTATTTTAATTGGAAGAGCATTTTTTCCTGTAACCTAATCCGTGTCAGTTTCTCAGGCTGTCCTTTAGGAATGCTGGCTTGACCAAATGACATCTGTCTTTCATTTTCAGGTCAGCTCCTTGGGATTTACTGTATTTTTACCATGATAATTTTGGAAGGAATTAACTTTTATTTTGGCACACCACTACAGGATAATGTAACATATTATAAAAGAAAATAGCTGATACAATTTTGAATTGAGCATAGCTTTTACAGTTTAAAAACCCTTTTAATGAAAATGGTAGTTGGCAGTTCCATGTTTTCGCTGAGTGAGTAAAGGCTATCCTTGTGAAGTGGCCAGTAGTAGATACACTAAAAGTTAGCATGCAGGCACCTAATATTTCAGTGTGTGGAACCCTATCAATCACATCCCTTTGTACGCTGTACTGTGTGATGCTTTTGTCGCAAGTCTGCAAGCGAGTGGGGACCTAATATAGGCTGTGCATTGGACAGGGAGGCTTGGAGAAAGAAGTGTGACAGCCTCGCATCCCTCAGAGCGCTTACCCTCCAATTGAAGATAGAGACAGTTAGTGCTGTGTCAGTGCTGTGTGTGTTTTGCATGTAACTATGAGCCTGTTTCTAGCCGAGCATCTTCTGGGAAATCCAAGTGGTTATTTTCATGCTTTGGTAGGACCTGGACAGTAGAGCTGAGAATTTTACTTGTTCAGTGTTCTCTTCATATCCATCCAAGCCTGTAGTCAGTCTTTTGGGCACTCTCTAACCAGATAACTCTGGAGTGTTTTGTTTTGTAATTCCAGGGGTGGGTGGAGTGAGTCATAATGGAGAGAGCCAGGTGATGGAGAGAGATGCCTCTTACGTTGACCTTGCAGTTGGCAGTCGCCTGTCTCCCATGGTGCAAGCTGTGGGCCCTTGCAGCACCTCCCTTTGGCTTTTCTACCTTTTCACCTTTATCTCCAGTCCAGGAAAACCAGCCTCCAGAGGGAGAGCCAAGAATGTACATTGCTGTTTCTGGTTTAATCCTGAGTACAGGTTTTTGTCTTAAAGACCTTTGGTCTAGAAATATTAGTAAATTGTATTATTTAAACTTTTATTTTTAAGACTTTAAGAACCCAGAAAGATTATTTGGGGCTTAATTTCTGGGACATAAACATGCTGGTATTGTGTTTTAAGCTTAGTTAAGTTTTAAAATATATATTCTAGGAACTCAGCAGAGGCCGTTACTGTCCCGGCTGCAAATTGATCCAGTCATGGCAGAAACTCTGCAGATCAGTCCAGGTTGGTAATCATGTTAAGTTTTCAGTGTAATCGGGCATTTTTTAGTTGCTATTTTCATTACACTTCATTTAATGTGCCTTGTGTTTCTTAGATCCTGCCCTAAGGTGCTATATTTAGGTCTGTGAAAATATTTTAGGGGCAGGTGACAAGATCTGCATTTTCTTTATGTTACATGTGTTTGTATTTTTTACCTCATTCAAAACCTTTCTTCCATTGCTGCCATTTTACGTAGGACCCTGGAATTTGTTGGCTGCTCACTTCCCTGCTCTAGGGATGACTAGAGTCCCTACCCTACTCTCCTCTCTGCCCAACTTTTGCCAGGCCCTGCTGCTGTAGTTTCCCTGCCTGTTGAACCAGTCTTTAGACTCTCATTGCCAGGGACACACCAAGGACTTGTGGTTGTTAGACCCACTGGAACTTACCTTGAGGCTCTCCCACCCCAACACACGCCATGGCTACTTCAGGACTGGGGCTAGTGCCTTATTTATGTCTGTTGCCAGTGCCCTTGCCAGATGCATGTGGAATCCCTCATGTCTGCTGAAAAAATGATGGGAGCCATTGACACCTGCAAACTTAAAATCAGAAGTCTTATTTTCTCCACTTCCTTCTGTCTCCCCCAAACCTGCTCTTCACTGGAAGCTCTGGTGCCTTGACCCTCTGCTTCTCTGCCCCTAACCAAATTTTCTTCCCCGTGATCGGGACTCCACAGTCACCACCTGTATTACCTGACCTTGCCATGGCCTTTTGTGCTTGTCTTCTCTGAGGGTTACATCCCACCCACATGCCAGCTCCTAACCTGCTGATGAGCAGTTTGTTATCACCACACTCATGTCGCTTCAGTTTCTGCCTCTCTTATGGCTTCTCCCTTCTACCTATAAAAGGGGTTAGAAATTCTCCAGTCTTGATTTTCCACTTATCTCCCAACATTCTATCCTACTTTCTACAAGGGCATTTTCCTTCAAATGTTTGGCAGCTGAAGTCTGTGTATGTAGTATCCGCTTAATCAACCCTCACACATTCGTTTTGTTTCCTTTAGTTTTTATATTTATCCATGGTGCCCATACAGTTTGAATCATCAAGTAGTTCTAGTAGGCTTATGAATGACTACATCCTTTGCTTACCTCCTATAATTTTTTAAATTGATTTTAGAGAGGGAAGTTAGGGTTGGGTGGTGGGGGGAGAAACATTGATGAGAAAGAGACATCAATCGGTTGCTTCCCATACACACCAGGACCAGGGATTGAACCCTAAACCTAGGTATGTGCCCTGACCAGGAATCAAACCCATGACCTTCCGGTACATGGGACAACACTCCAACCAATGCCACACCAGCAAGGGCTCTACAATTTTTTTATTTTATTTCTGAGAGCCATTTTATTTGTGCATCTTTCTCCACCCCCCCCCCTTTTTTTTTTTCCCATACTGGTTTTGTTTCATGTATGCAGTACTTTCTCTTATTTCTCTGAGGATATTGAGGTAGTTTCTGACTTTTTTTTTTGTCTTTTATCCAGTTGTTCATTTTGATCACTGTCTTTTGTGAAAGTGGTTTTCTTCAGATGTCTGCAGGCCCTTGGTAGGCTTAGATTTAAGAGTGGGCACTTAGGAAGCTGTTGGTGCTCTGGGTTAATTGGCTGGGGTGTGGGCTTTGGACCTCGCATAGGAACACAGATCTGCAGTGGAGAGTGATGTGTCTTGCTATCTTGGTGCACCCTGATGTCGGTTTTTAGGCCCTTCCTGTAGGCTGGTCAGCTTCTCTAAAGAAAGACCTTTCAAGTAATGGACTGGCTGGGATCCAAGTGGGAAAGGGAACTGGGGAAGGCACCTCAGCATAAATTACTACAGAATGTTTACCTTAACAAGCCCCTCCATGGTTTCTGAATGGTGCTTCTTTCAACCTGGCTGGCATCCCTTGGTGCAGAGACCCCTCTGCTTTTAGCTCAAAAATCTATAAAGCGATACTTTCTCCAAGGGAGAAACTGGTCAGAGGAAACCTGCTTTTAACAGTTTTAATAGTATGCATTTAGTTCATGTTGTAGCACCTTTCTGTCGGAAACCAGGGAGCTTCATCCATAGGTGTCTCCCATGGTGACTAGTGAGAAAGTGGATCTCCAGTTATTCCAGATGTCTTCAGTAGAGAGGTAGGGGAATAGAAACGAGAATTTAGAAAGAACTAACTGTGCTTGAAATGGACACTGGAGCCACGTCTGTTCTGCCCACCCCTAGAATCCCAAGGTCCCCTAATTTCTCAACCGCTGGAGAGAGTCTTGGGATCCATGCTGGTTGGCTTCATTGTTGGCTGCAGACTCAGCTTTTGAAGATCTCCTGAATTGGTTTATCACTTCCGAAGTGTGGTTGTATCTCCTTTCACAATCATTTTCTTGGTGGGTTTTTAAAAAATTAACCCTTTATTGATATTTTAGTGGTGTTTCAGGAGGAAACAGAGCACCTGGGTCAGACGCCTGTGTTCTTCACCCAGATGTCACTATTCCATCTGTCTGGTTCGCCTCGACCTGGGCTGCTCACATTAGTCCTGCAGAGGCGACCAGTGGCTGTGTGGGTGCAGCGCTCCTTTTTCAGTGTCCACTTCCTAAACTGTAGCTTGCGACACTTGAATTCTGTTTTCTTCCATCTCTGATCCATTGGCTCCCAGGACTTTCCTGTCCTCCTACTAATTCCTTTTCATTCTCCTTTGTCAACTCCTTTCCTCCTCTACTGCCCTTTAAAATGTTAACTTTACCCTGTGTCCTGCCCTCAGTGTTATTTTCATCTCCTATATTCTCCCAAGATACAAAGTAGTAGAGTCTCTTTGCCTCAGAAAAGTGCAGGGTGGTGAGAAGGAATGCTGCCGCCCTCAGACTACCTTCTGGACTCTGCCTTTGCTGTCATGAGGCCTTGGATCACCTGTGGTCTCGGGTCACTTGTGGTCTCTGACGTGCAGATCAGTGAGAAGACAGCAGCACTCCGTGTGTACACTTTATTAAACATTCTTATTTCACCTTCACTTTTGACTCTGCTTCTCTTATTTGTCTCCCCACCCCCAGTGGTCTGATCTGAATTTTCACCTTCTTCCTCAACATGTGAGAGCCCCACAACACTTCAAACTAAATAAACCTAAAACTGATATTTATCTTTGCCCTCTTTTATTTTTTATTAACATTTATTGGGGCAACATTGGTTAATAAAATTATACAGGAAAGGGCAAAAATAGGTTTACTGTTGTGAGTATGTGAAACAGTTTATTCGTGTACTAGTATTATTTTTTAAAATGTATTTTTATTGATTTCAGAGAGGAAGAGGGAGAGAAAGCATCAATGATGAGAGAGAATCATTGATTGGCTGCCTCCTGCACACCCGCTACTGGGGATTGAGCCCGAAACCCTGGGTATGTGCCCCTGACTGGAATCGAACCCAGGACCCTTCGGTCCACAGGCCAATGCTCTATTCACTGAACCAAAACAGCTAGGGCATTATTTATAAATTGTGTAATTTTCCATACGAACACCTGTAAACTTCCTTTTGCCCCACCCTTTGGAGGTTTCAAGTGTTCAATTGTGTAATACATCTTCCGTATATTGCATTGTGTGCCCATCACCCCAAGTCAGGTCTCTCCTTCCATCACCATTTATCCCCACCTTATCCTCTTCTACCTCTTCCCACTCTCCTTTCCTTCTGGTAACCAGTATGCTTTTGTCTGTGTCTAGAGTTTTTATGTCTTGTTGGTTGGTTGGTTGGTTTCAGTTTTATATCCCACATATGCATGAAATCATATGGTGGTTGACTTTTTCCATTTGACTTCACTTAGCATGATACTCATGTTGCAAGTGGCAGTATTTTATCTTTTCTGTGTCTGAGGAGTAGTATTCCAATGTATATATGTATCTCATCTTCTTTATCCAGTTCTCTATCGAAGAACCCTCTAGTTGTTTCCATGTCTTGGCCACCTGCCTTTTCCCCCTTTTAAATTGGCTCTTTCTCCTGTCCTCTATTTCCTGCATCAAATTCCTCTTCCTCCTGCTTGCATTCATTCACATGTCTTTACCAGTCTCTGCTGCACTGGCAGGGACGACAGGCATGCCTCCTGCTTGGCATAGTAGGTGAAAATGCACCTGCTGTGAGCTGCTGGTGCTCATGGGAGGGTGTTAGACTAGGAAAAGGGGATGAGACTTTTAACTTGGAGCCTCAACATCACTCCTGGGCAACAGCCTCATAACCGAGATCTAGGACTCTAATCCATCTTACCACTGTTCCTTTTTTCCTGAAAACCAGTTTAAACATGTGACCTCCCTACTTAGAAACCTCTCTGGGTTACTTACTACTTCTGGACCAGAATTTAAACTCCTTTATGCCTCAGCCTCTTCCTTGCCACTCATCTGCTTAGCCCACCACACACAGCCCTCCAGCATACCACAATCTCACTGCCTCAAATCCCTGTGCTCCTAATGAGGAAAGCCCTGCCTTTCTCCATGCGGTGTCCTCTCTTCTCCAGCACTTTCCCTCCTAGTGTGTTCCTGCTCACCCCTTTAGTACCTGTTGTACTTGTTCCTCCTCTGTAAGCCTTTCTTCTCCCAGTTGGAGGAGGTTCTGGACTCTTCCAACCTGCTTACACCCCTTTTAGGTCACTTTTTGGGGCATACGGTTCTGAAATATTTTTGTGTGTACCTAGCCCAGTATTCTCAGCAGTTCACTTTTTTCAGGGAATGAACATGAACGAATAGTCCGAATTTTGGTCTCTGTTATTTGCCTGTTAACTGTGGAGCTCATTAACTCGAGTCCGTTGACTCCATATTGGTAGGTCAGCCATCTCCACTAGGGCTTGGTGTATTTTATAAAGTGTTGGGCCTAAGATGATGTTGCCGATGATGTGAGCTCTACTTATTTGCATTGAAGGTCATTGTGTTCCTTGCTGTATTTTTTAAAATGTCTATTCATCTTAAAATTCTCTCGTATAGTGGTCTTTAAAATCGGGCGGAAATTATGACAGCTGAATTCTTATCATTAGAATGTGTTCATTTCACTAAGTGATACTGTGCAAAATGAACAAAACAGGTTTTAGAATGCTTTTTACACAATCTTTGTATCATAGTTCTAGGGAACATTAGGGCTCTTTATTCTCCATGTTTTTAGGAAGTATTGTATTTAAAAGTAAGTTCATATTGTTAGTATCCCATTAGATGCCTCATGTAAGAACCTTTCCATACTGTCGGCAAGGAGTGTTCTAGAATCCCTTGGTTATATGCTGGAAGAGGGAAAGAATGCTTCTTTGGAAAGATGTTTGACACAGAATTGCAGCCCTGTTCTGAGTAGAACCATTGTGATTTTCCTTTGAAAATAATTACAAATATATATTAAAAACTTGACATTCTTCTCACGTGTGTGATGTTGGGAATGAAGGTATATTCAAAAGTAAACATTTGTGGCCAATTTCTTTGGCTCAGATTACTATGACATGGAATCCCTGGTCTATGCAGACACAAGATCATTTATTCTGAAGAAGCCAAAGCTGTCTGAGGAAATAGTAGTGGCATCAAACCAAGAGTCGGGAATGAAGACCGCAGATACCCTTCGGGTACTTTCAGGACACCTTATGCAGACACGGTAGATGGTTTCTTTTTTTTGTGTAGCTAATTTGTGTTCATTAGATGGGCAGTGCAGGATAACCGTCAGTTTACACTTCCCTCCACCCCATCCTGGTGCTCAGTGTAGAGTGCTTTGACTCAATAGTTAGGCCACGTATATAGTAAGCCAAAATCAGGTTTCAAATATTCCAGTTCATCTTTCTTGTTCGGAAATCCATTATTCTGCAAAATAAGTCAGCGTATGATTTAATGTTAATAAGATTCTTTTCTTTATGTGCATCCAGGAAATGAGATTTTAAAGGCCAGGTGATCAAAATCAGGAAATCTCTCCAGAGTTAGCCAGTTGGGTTGGGATGATCCTTCCCTTAGAAAATTAAAAGTTCTAACAAACATACAGATAGTAAAATTAGTGTAAATGTAGACTGCTGGCTATTGTGCTGTGTGCATGGATGCTGACTTCTCAGTATATTTCCATGTGACCCTATGAGGATCAGATGGACAGAGGGGGTTAGGGTTGAGGAGAAATTGGCTTTAGCCCCGGGGGCGCTGGTAATGCTGCCACAGTGATGGGCCGCAGCCAGTGTGTGGTAGCAGGAATCCCACGGAGGCTGTACCTGCAAGTTCTTCAAAGTCTTTTTTTTTTTAACGGAAGAAACCACAGCAAGTAAGGGAGTGATAGTTCTGCTAAAGAGCACGTTAGGAGGCTCAGCTTTATGTGTTCGTTTCCCTAATTCTGTGGTATTTTCTATCTATCTGGCAGAGATCTTGTACAACCAGATAAACCTGCAAGTCCCAAGTTTATAGTGACGCTGGATGGTGTTCCCAGCCCCCCAGGATACATGTCAGATCAAGAGGAGGACATGTGCTTTGAAGGAATGAAACCTGTAAACCAAACTGCAGCCTCAAACCAGGGACTCAGAGGTCTCCTCCACCCACAGCAGTTGCAGTTGATGAGCAGGCAGCTTGATGACCCCAATGGTAGCTTTGCACACGGTGTGTTGAGAGCTCAGCCTTTCCCTCTTAGGGTGCTGGTATTGAGAAGGAAATCTTTGACATGTTTCTCTGTCTTGAATGAATACTGGTTGGAGGCCTTGCTTTTGTTTATTCCTCAGTAGTGGCCTTTATTTTTTTCAGACAGAACAACCAGTTAAATTTGAGACTGTCTGTCCTGTGAATGTTGGCTGTCGTTTAGGTGCTAACATGGTATTCAGCCATGGAAGCCAAAAAATGCCTTTTATTCATGTCAGAGAATGACCATCATTCTTAATTTCTGTTTGCCTTTTTCTGAAAAAGAAACTGTACTGGCTACTTTCCTCTTTTACCAGCATTAGTCTCTTTTATAATTAACTTGCTAGAAAAATGAATTTGAATTTTGATGCTATTTCTCCTTTGGTGAAATTCTCTTGAGTGAAGTTTCTCACCTAGCAGTCAAAATAGTTCTTGGACGTAGAAAAATCTTATGTTTAAATTAATATTTAAGCATAGTATTTAGAAGTCAGATCAACTCATTTCAGATAGTGACATGCTTTTAGGCAGATGAGCCTTTCTTAGGGCTTTTCACTGGATACCAGTGGCAGGTACAGCTACTGATCATTTTCACTCAGGATAGAGAATAACCATGCTCTTCAGACCTCACATTCCTAGAAACACCTACTTTGACAGGGGAGCCAATTACTACATTTTTAAAAAATAGGTTTTTAATGATTTTAGAGAGAGAGGAAGGGAGAGAAAGATAGACAAACATTGATGAGAGAGAAACATCAACAGGTTGCCCCCTGCACAGTTCCCACTGGGGATTGAACCCGCAACCCAGCCATGCGCCCTGACTTGGAATTGAACCACCGACCCCTTGGTGCATGGGTTGACATTTAACCATTGAACCACACCAGCCGGCCAATTACTGAATCTTAATAGTATCAAAGAAAAAAATGGGTTTTGAAATTTTTCCAGAGTAAAATTTCTTTGCAGATACATGAAAATATATTAAATGGTTTTTTAGTAGCTAAAAAATATAATAGTCCTTAGGGGGAGATACGAGTAAGTGAAGAGATATCGCTATTATCTTGAACTGAATGAGGCAGTAATACAGTGTTACGGTTTTGATTGGTGGCAGAAGTTGAAAATAACCCTATTGAAAGGAGGAAAGGTTTTAAAATGGAAACAAAGATGGTAAGAACTGCAAGTTGGGCACTGCATATTTCTTGACCTTATATATTTTGTCTAAAATAAGAGAATATTCTGGTGCTTTTGCTACTTTGGTTTTCAATTTGGCAGCTTAAATGTTTATATGTTAGGGTCTAGTTTCATTTAAATGTAGATGTCTGTTAAGCTTTATTGGAATATATGTCATCGGCGACATATATACCAGGGGCTATTATGGAGACAGCTGTGATGCGTGGTGAGCCTCCTTCACCATCACTTTGATCTGGGACTCTCGGTATATTACGCTGAGAGATGCCTGAATAGCAGTCACAAAGAGGCTGGGGTCTCTCTTGCTCTCCCCCTCTGAGCAGGGAGTTTGAAACTTTGTCATTGCTTTTGGTGGCTTTTTGTCCAGTGTTTCCAGGATGCTACCGACAGCAGCAGCCGTTTGAAGTCACCCCGACTGGCCATTATATAGCAGTCCAGATTTTATAGTTTGCAGCAAAAAGTGAATTTGCCTCTTAAAATGTAAACAGGAAAAGTTTTAATAGCTTATGAAGTAAATGTTAGGGAAAACCAGAGTCGTGACCTTCGTATATATGGTTTAACATTGCTATCAGGAAGATACAGTGTCCTCGTGCAGTATTTAACCTCTTTAACATGCTTGTGAGTTGCCCCTTATTCCACTTTGCAGCAGCCTGCGATGAGTATTCTGTTAACTTCTCATTTGGCCTGGGTTGCCACATAGATACCATAATCTAAAACAGTGGTTCTCAACCTTCTGGCCCTTTAAATACAGTTCCTCATGTTGTGACCCAACCAATAAAATTATTTTCGTTGCTACTTCAAAACTAATGTTGCTACTGTTATGAATCGTAATGTAAATATCTGATATGCAGGATGGTCTTAGGCGACCCCTGTGAAAGGGTTGTTCGACCACCAATGGGGTCACGACCCACATGTTGAGAACCGCTGGTCTAAAGAATGTTCTTTAGGAGGAAGGTCAGACAGACAAATCTCTGCAAAGCTGACACAAAAACCATTTAAATTTGGAGAAAATCCTCTGGCCCTACCAGATTTTACTTAAGACTAGGGATACTTTTTATCCTGGAGATAAATAATTACTTTATTAAGTAGCCTGGAAAATTTATGTCAGGAGTAGTCATAATAGCGCTGATGGTCTTCCTAACGGGTTTAGGACTGGCTGTGTGTGCCTTGTTATCCTATAATGAAGACGGAAGTCGGGTCACTGTATTGTTAAGTTTTGATTGTTACCTGTTTTGCATTCTTGTTTTCATTTAATCATAAAATTAAGGAAGACATTATTTCCTCTGTGTAAATGAGGAACCTGACATTCAGAGATGTTAGCACTTGCCCAGTGTCTACCTTCTCTGCTAGTAAGTTACAGAGCCAAATTTGAACAGCTCTGTAAGAGATGTAGTTCAAGTGATACCTGCTTTCACAAACATGAATATGAACAATAATAGGTAATACCCATGGTGCTATTGGGAGGGAGGGTTGGATGTGTTGGACCAGAAGTTGGTAGGTAGCTCATGATAGCTACCAGGTGTAACTTTATTTGGTTTATTCTGTTTTGAATTTGAATTAGTTGCCAGCATTTAAAATTTAAATGTCATGTAAAAAGGTTTTTGGCTTACCGAATCAGGAGACAGTCTGGCAACATGGTCCCACTTTCTGAAGTCACAATAATTGACATTGTAATTGGACAGAACCTGGTGAGTGGTATGGCAGAGTGTGCCATCTGATGGTGTGTGCACTGGTCTCTTCCCCACCCGTTTGCTCCACGAGGAGACTGACCGCCATGGTGATCTCACATCCAGCCAGGCGCACTCTGTTAGGTAATCTGCTGGGCCCTGTAGATAATGACATTTGTGACCCATTTTAGGCAAAAGTCTTTCCTCACTTTGAAGACATTGCTGAATTTATCACTTGGACTTAGAAAACTGGGTATTCCTCAGTGAGTTGGAATACTTTTGTATTGGGACCACTGGTGAATTTGCCTGAATGAGAATTCGTTCACATTTTTTATCAACTTGTGTTTTCAGTCTGCATTTCATTTTATTGGCTCTCTACTTGACATTCTTCCCTCTTTTATATTTGATCAGCTCTGAAATATTTTTGAGAATTGGAGTTTTTTGTGAGAACTTTGGCCCTAGTTGCAGCATCACTGTTCACTTACTTCCACAATGCAAACTAGTCTACTTCCTGGATCGTTTACAGCATTCTCTTACAGTGTTGGTCAGATTACTTTGACTCATTTATTTCATATGACTATGGACATAGAAGATAACGATTTTAAGACTGGGTTTTGAGGGAAATTTATTAGAAGAAGTGCCATGTACTGAACTGATCATAATTAATGTATACTTTTAATTCCTCTCCCTTTGTAGCTGAGATGAGTGAACTGAATGTGGCACAGAAGCCAGAAAAACTTTTGGAGCGCTGCAAGTACTGGCCTGCCTGCAAAAACGGGGATGAATGTGCTTACCACCACCCGATTTCACCTTGCAAGTGAGTAGCAGCGAACCATTTCTGGTCTTCAGGTTAATTTCTATATCTGATCACATATTTAGCTTTTTTTTTTTTTTTTTTTTTAAGGCCAAGTTTGAGTTTTGTAACTAAATTCATTGACACTTAACCACGGTCCTGCCCTGAACAGCATATGTGTGTGTAGCGGGGGGTGGGGTGTGGGTGTAGGGGTCGGTGTGTGTGTGTGTGTGTAGGTGTAGGGATGGGGAGATGGGAGGTGGCTTCTTTGTGCCTCAGACCTATGAGATACCGAAATTCTGGGTTTTATTCCAGATTCTGTACATTTAAGGAGGTGGGTATGTAATAACTATCCCAGTTTGTATGCATTGTGTTCATCCATACATACACAAATGTTAAGGCGTTGAGGAAAAACTATATAATAGGTAATGAGAAAATATTTTGGACTTGGGTATAATTTTTCCTAACCAGCTGGCTGTTTAAATGGAATGACCTTTGAGAGATGACTTGTACATTTTGTTTTTGTCCCATAGGTAGAATCTCTCCATGTTTTAATTTCAGGAGCTTTTGATATGAGAATAACATGGATGTATAAATAGGGAGATCGTGGGACAAGTACTCTTTTTGGTAGCACAATCCCTTGTATAAATATTGTGCTCACTATAGTGTTTACTTCATAAAATACATAAACATAGACTTTAATAATTAAGTGGTGTGATTCTCATTATCACCAAAAACTCTTTTACCCTTCATGTGGTTTGGCTGGAGTTGAAAAACTGTTATTATCCCAGGCTTTGGAATAGATAGTTGTGTCCTGTTGATGTATGGCCTCACTTAAAAATGGAGTTTCCTTCTCTTGTTACTTTTTATTTCTGAAAACAAGTATTGATGGAATGAGTATAAGGAGCCCCTCTACAAAAAAACGAATGCATTCAGAAGATTAAATGTGAATAATATGCTTTTTTTTTTATAGGGCTTTCCCCAATTGTAAATTTGCTGAAAAATGTTTGTTTGTTCATCCAAATTGTAAATATGATGCAAAATGTACTAAGCCAGATTGTCCCTTCACTCATATGAATAGAAGAATTCCAATACTGCCTCCAAAACCAGGTTAGTGACTTTGTGCACTACTACTTTTGGGTAAAATAAAATTTAAAAAAATTAAAAATGACATTTTGTGAAAGGAATAGTTTCAAAATTGTAGTAGAATCAATTAAAGTAACGAGTCTCCAAAGAGGAAGTGCATGCATACTGTAGTATTCTTACGTATTTTTATCTTCACTAATGAATATATATGTCTCATCATTCATTCTATTTTAATTTTAAAATGGTTCCCATAAAAACATCAGAATGCATTAAAAATTATTTTGCCAAATAAATTTGATCAATGTTTGTCCTCATTTTTGTCAGCAGTTATAACAGCAACACCATCTTCTAGTAGTCAGCTCTGCCGTTACTTCCCTGCTTGTAAGAAAATGGAATGTCCCTTCTATCATCCAAAAGTAAGAACCTTTTTTTCCCTTTATTGATTAAGGTATTACATATGTGTCCTTATCCCCCTATTCCCCCCCCCACCCCCATTCAGGCCCTCACCCCACTGGTGTCTGTGTCCATTGGTTAGGTTTATATGCATGCATACAAAGTCCTTTGGTTGATCTCTCCCCTTTACCCCCACCCATTTTCCCAAAACTGAATTTAGTGATAACTTTTTAGTTGTGAGACCTGGAAGATCACTAGCAAATTGAGATTGAGTATCTTCCTCACCTCCTTTAACTTATTTTTTGTTAGAGTTAAGTTGAAGGTCTTTAAGATCTTTAAGTTATTCCTTGGTATCACTCGGCCTGTTTTTCTCTCTGGCCAAGTGGTGTGACACTACTGAATGTCAGTCTTCTAAGCTCTCAGGAGGGTAGAGCTCACCTTTGCTGTTTGTTCTTCACTGCCCCTAAGCATGTCGGTGGTTTTTTCTTTCCCTAATGCTGGAACTGAGATGATGACATTAGTAGTCCAGCTTACTGCCATCCAGGCTTGTTCTGATGCTTTTGTCTGTGTACTAAAGACTGGTTGATGTGTCCTCAGCTGTTTCATTGCTCAGAGTAGTGTCTCCTTTCTGAAATAGCAGCTTGAAGACCATACAGAAGGCCTTCACTTCCCTCCAGTTGCAGTTGGGCATAGCTGAGGGTGCTCAGTGAAGAATGTTAGGGTGTTAGGCAGGGCGTGCAGGGTGATTGTTAAACATTGATTAGAAGTAGTTGATTGTATGCTAAGGTTCTTTTTGAAATTTGGCTTGTTGTTATTCTGTGACTAGGATTGTGTGTGTGGGGGGGTGGCGGTTATTTTTCAAGGTTTCAGTAGTAATAAAAATTAATGTTACAGACCATATCTCTTGCCCCATTGTTAGGGTGAGCTTGTTAGTGTCACTCTAATTGCCGTTTTTGTCTGTATTAGCTTTGCATATGTTGAAACTGTTCTTATCTCCTTAGCACTGTAGATTTAACACTCAGTGTACAAGACCTGACTGCACGTTTTATCATCCCACCATTACTGTGCCGCCACGACATGCCTTGAAATGGATTCGGCCTCAAACCAGGTAAAGATGAAAATTAGTTTTCCTAATGGCATTTCAAATACAGTGGGGCCTTGACTTACGAGTATCCCGACTAACGAGTTTTTCGAGATATGAGCCGTCTCTTTGCTTTGAGTTGTGAGCTAAAATTTGGGTTACGAGCCAGCTTCAGATACCGCACCGCTAGTTGGCGCAGCGAACGTCACAGTGAATGCCACAACATCAGCCCAGCATCACGTGTCTCACTCGTTCACTTTTTGATTTGACATACGAGTAATTTGAGTTACAAGCTCCATCACGGAACGAATTAAACTCATAAGTCAAGACCCTACTGTACTTTTCTAATATGTAGTTTCTTAAATTTATAAGCACACAAATGTGGAATAAATTATCACTGCTTTTTCTCTGATGTTTAATTTTACATGGGTCCTTTGGAAAAATAATATAGAGTAGAAGCCAATTTTGTTTTATCCAGTAATTGCTTATTTCCCTGAATCATCTCCAGATCAGGTTTCTTTTATAACTTCATCTGCACATACACTAAGGCCTTCAGGAGTTATACTGCTTACAAATCTCATATCAGTTTTCTTAGACATTAGTAATTCGGGGGGGGGGGCGGGGAGTTTCAGAACATTTTAGTGTGGCCTATAAATTCATGTTATCTTTTATGTACCTTTTAAAATCTGGTATTTGCATCATAATCTGTAGAACGAATATTCATGGTCTGAAGATACTCAACTTCTTAATTAAGGTATGTGGTATATAGGGATGCGAAGCAGTTAATTAAAAAAATTTTTTTGGTTTTATTCAGTGAATGACAGTCCTACCTGGCAGAAGATCGTGAAGTTTGAAAGTTTCCATCTACTGATGAAAAAGATTCTGTAGAACTTGTCAAATCTTTGAAACTTGGAATATATTGCTTTCATAATATGAAGTTATTGCCTATCTGAAGTACCTAATTTTTCAAGTTTGTAAGTTTATTATGTGGTTTTAACATTGGGTGTTTTGTTGTTGTTTGCCTTGTTTTGACTATGGAAAGACAGTTTAAGGAAAAACTGAATTCTATTAAAACACCTGGTGTGTTTGTACACTGCTGTTTTGAGTATCAGCATGTACAACATGGTGATATTGTCAGTACAGATAATCCAGTTTGGGGCTACATGTTGCTGTGAGTGTCTGCGTGTGTGTGCGGGAACGTGTGTATACAAAGAATATAGTGAGGGGAACATCCTTATTCCAAAAGTTGGATTGCTACTTTCATTTTTTCCAGGGATTATACAATGTTCATGATCCACTAAAAAAGTGTTGAGGTAGTTTAAATAGTCCATCCTACTTTTTAATTTTAAGTGATTAAGTTTGGCTTCTTAGGTTGCGTGCTGGTTTGGTAAATGGTTCCCAAATAGCTAGTCTTTGCCTTCTGGGTAAGGATGAGTGAGGTGGGCATGTAGAGTGAAAACAGCTGGAATGCCAACGGCAAAAAGAAAAAGAACAATTACTTAAAATGTTTTTCATTTACTGTTAACATATACTTTTAAAATAAATATTTTGGAGAACTACATTATCACAAAATTATACAAAAGTTTTTACAAGTATATATACATAGGTATCAGAGAACAGACTTGAAATTCACAAGATTATATAGCTATACATATATATTCTCCCATTCTGAAAAACATTCTCAGAAATAATTCCAGAAAATATAGTTACTGAAGATAATTTTTTAAATGTAAAAATTAGATTTCAGTAGTATATTTTAAATGTCAGACTATATAATTACAGAGATCAGATGGATAAATTGCAAAGTAGGACTAAACTTTTTGACTACTGAATTAAAATACAGTTATGTGTTTGTGGTTTTTAAAATTGTTAAGGCAAGAAGTGTCAAAAACTTTAGAATTAAACGGATCGCTGATTTTAAAGACTTGATGTACAGTTTTTTAAAAAGTAAAGCTAAAAGTTGGTTAGAAAAAAGCGAATTAATGCAAAAGGGATAATAAAGACTCAAACATTCTGACGACCAAATTAAATGTAAATGTAAAAAAGTTCAGTGACTTCTTCAATCACATCCTCAAGAGAGAATGAAACCACACGTGTCAACCCATGTTTAAGAGCCTGAAACCAGCAGTCTGTTGTTTTGTGGCTGCTGCTCTTCCATTGGGAGAAGAAAGATAACCGTTAACAATTTTGTAAGTTGCACTTTGCTGTGCTGATTCCAAAGTAAAGACAAAGCACAGGAGAGCACAGAGTTGCCAGTGAGGTGTGAGTGAAGTGACCATTCCTCCTCTTCTAAAAAGTGGGCTCCATTGAATTTAAGGCATATATTCATTCCAGTGTTAGTACTTGAGATGCTTTTCACATCTCTGCAGAAGAAATTTGTTTTAAATTGTACTTCCAGAAATTTAAACAGATATTTAGCATCGTTTATAAATGTTTTGTAGTTGCAGTGTCATAATTCCACTATAAAAGACATAAGTGGGAAACAAGGGCTGGTGTGGTTTAGTTCAGCCATTTTACAAGGAAATAACATGCTAAGATTGAGTTGTTTCTTGCTAGTTAATAGACATTGCCTGGAAACATATTTAAGAGTTTAATCTTATTTTTCAGTTGCTATGGTTTATGGGAGAGCTAAGGTTGATTCTAAAACATTTGTTGGGTAATTTGGTCTAAAATGAACCATCATCCAAAAGGATCACAAAAAATGGAAGGGAAAAGGTGTGGCTCACGGTAAGCAGTGCATGGCACAGGGTGCAGTGTGCTTTGGCATGCGTTTATATACAGAAACAGGCTAAAGGTGCCAGAAGTCTCAGCTTACAAATTCAGGAGCATAGTCAGGTGCTGCGTGCACACACACATAATTCTCTCTGGGTTAAAAAAATGAACAGCAGAATCTCCATGGTCTATGGTGGTTTTTCACCTTCCCTTAGTTTGATGGCTGGTAAAAGCAAAAGAGCAAGGTACTCATGGATGACTCCTTAAATTCAATACGACCTTCAGTCATGAACTGACAACAGTGAGCAAGGTTGGCTCATCAAGTTGGCCACTTGGAAGAAAAAATGCAATGGAAGCAATTTTATCCTACTTGCTTAAGGTGAGTAGAGTTTCTATTTGCATTGTGATGGAAATAGAATTTCTCTTTAGCCAAAAACCTGCAAACTTGACTGCCAAAAGTCTCAAAAATGGAGGGAAAGAGGGATTCAGGGGATTTTTTCCCCCTTTAATTTGTTGACTGCTCCTTTATAATATACATGAATAAAAATGTAATACTAGTGTATTCTAAAATTTGCCTTTATTTAGGAGACTGATGTAAATAATGAAAGAATATGATCTTATGTTTCAAGTTTCTTAAACACCTTTAATCAGTTCTTTTAACACAGCTATTCCAAGCTTTAAAACTGACCAGCTTTAATCACTGGTTAGGCTTTCTTGCGATGTAATTTGACCATTTCTGTTTTTAGTATTTACAAGGCGTTGGACATACAAAAACTAAGATTTCCAGACACCTGAAGGGGCCTATTATGCTACAAAGATAACACATTAAAATAAAAATTCATAGGACCAATAGAGCATCATAATCTTCTTCACACTTAGAAAAATATATTTTTAAATATCAGTTTACATAATTTCCAATCTTCAGGAAACTACAGATAGGCTAAACAGCATATTCCTGAATGGCAAATACTGATCTTTGGCAGCATTTAAAGTGAATAGGAATAAAGATCTAAGAGTTCAGCCCCAACCCACCAAAAAGAAATAGACAAGTTTGAAAAGTGAACTTGTATTCATTCCTTTTGGAAGTTGGCTATGGGTGGCATACATCTAAACAGATTTTCCAATTAAAAAAATAAAAAGCTGTAAAAATATTTTTTCAAGAATTAACTAAATTGTATAACTTTGTAAATGTGAATTTAACTCTTTAGTTTACATGTTAAACATGTTTCTATTGGAGTATATCTTTAAATATTCAGTATGCTCTCCCATTTAAATACTATTGCTATCTAAACCTTAAAAAACAGTACACAGTTGGAAATGATTGTTCATCATACTACTTCTTCATTAATGAGGCTATAATTTTAACTTTTCAAATATAGAAATAACTTCTGAATAAAGATGAGGATGGATAGCTCAAAAATGAAAATGTAGCAATCATATGCTAGTAACTTTGGATTTGTCCCTGTACTACAAATGCCAGGAGAACACTCATTTATAAAAAGGGCTTTTCTTGATGCTGCAGAAGTAGTATGTCCTCCAGGGAAGTTTGTGTGTGTCTCCTCAGGGAAAATAAGGTTTGCCTTTTAAAAACATCCTTTAGGGTGATGGTGTGTTTCCTTTCCTTACAGAAACATAAGGATATATTTCACTTAAACTGTGAACCACAAACTTTCTAAAAGGAAAGTGTTGTGTTAAAGGATGATGAAAATAATCCGAGTTGGGTTTTTAAGGTTTTGGTTTGCCTCGCCAGCAGGTCTGCCAAATTTGCACACTCCCCCCAAATGGGGGTTGGCTCTCACTATTAAGTATTTATTTTGTCCTTCCTTGAATTGTAATTATCTGGCAGTGTATGGATTACAGTTACTCAGTGCATATAATAAATATTTTGAACTTATCCATCTTATATTTTGATGATTCTGGGCATATATCCCTGTTACAATCTTAAATTAGCACCACTTGACTTCTCCCTCGTCTGTAATTCTGGTTTCTCAAGGCTGTTTATTCAGTCTTCCCAGCATCCACGTCTTTCAATGGGGCGTGTGTACACACTTCCAGACAAACAAACTGCAACCAGAGGAAACCTGCAGTGAGTTCATTATATTTCTAGGTTTTCAGAACAGTTAAGTTTTTCAATTGAGCTTTCAAACCATACATGTATAAAATTTTTCCTTGTTAACTCCTTTTACTCTGTATTTATACATAGTGCGTGACTCTAAGGCAGTGGTTCTCAACCTTGGCTGCACATTAGAATCACTTGGGAATCTTTTTAAAATCCTGATTTCTGGGCCTCATCCTCCGGAAATTCTGTTTCTTTGTTACTAATGTTGTGGCCCCACTCCATCACAAAGAAACAGAATTTCCGGAGGATGAGGCCCAGAAATCAGGATTTTAAAAAGATTCCCAGGTGATTCTAATGTGCAGCCAAGGTTGAGAACCACTGCTCTAAGGAGTCATCTGCTTTTGCTACCTTCCGATGCTGACAGTTCAGTGAGTCCACAAATTGCAGCTGTAGAAGTGATACCAAATCTCTAACTAGCAAAGACAGTCTGCTCTTGGGCTGAAAAAGTTACCAACCTGCAGTCATCACCTCCAGCACTAATCACGTGTCGATCACCACTGGTAAATCGAATATTTGTCACATGGGGTGAATGACCTAAGAACCTTTTATGCTTTGCCTGAAAAAACAAACAAAAAACTAAGCTCAAGGTGTGTGATGCACACAAAAGTCCAAGGTTGCTACAAGGAACCATAACTTCGCATCACCAGGGCTGAGGAGAGAGGAAGCAGTTAGGACCATAGCCAGTGATCAAGTGCCTTTCAGATTAGTAATGGGTCGGCACTTAACACAAACCAGGTGATTTGGGCAGGCAGATGTCTCCAGTTACTCTGAAATTTTTCCTGAGGAAAAGCATTTGAAACTTGGTAAAGGTTTGATAAAACACTAATCACAGCTTTTTATTAATATAGTTTGCAAAGATGGGTGTTACTTCAGGGGTATAATTTCTAATAGCTATTATTTCAGAGTAAGGGATTTAAGAAGTTTGGGGAAAAAAATTAAGAACACAAAGTATTTCCAGAGCAGGACACAACACAGTTTAGCTATTATGTGGGGAAATGTACTAATGACCAGACATCTAATTGAGAATATGATTATATAAAATGCTAAACCAAACACTTACAAATTTTTCAGGGCATGGGAAGTCAAATAACTTAACCATGCCAAAGTCATCTCCTGTCACAAGGCTGATTCCTGAATGAGACACACAGGCACAGTTGACATCTGCTTTCTCAGCGTGCCTGGACCAGATTCCCATAACTTCACTTCCTAGAATGCTAGAGGGAAGGGAAAAGAGAAATTCACCATAGCAAACAGGTTGACCATACTGAAAAAGTTTCTTGGTAATTAATCTCTAAGTACCTAATGTGTGTTTTAAAATACGGGAAGCAAATTGTAAGTTACTGGGAGCCCTGAGTTTCACCTGGGATGTTAATCCTCCCCCCGCCTAAAGAAAATTTGAAAATTTTAAGATTTATACATTAAATAACCTTTTAAAAATTAATACTGTATGAGAGCTGGCTTTATAAAATAAAAAGTGATGCTTATTCTATAGGAATTTGACAGTTTTCATTTACATTGGCTAAGAAGATGGATGCTCATCATTACCTGTTACACAGCCAGTGAGTTTGAACAAATTTATCATTTCATTTCTAACAGCTGCAAGATAGCATTCCTTTTCGATAGAGAAATAATACAATTGCCTAACAGAACCCAATATATTTGTCTGTTAAACCTATGAGGTTAAAGGAAATATCAGGGCATCTTTAAAGTATTAACTTTGATTTCCTTTTCTTTTATTATTTTTTTTTTATGATTTCCTTTCTTTAAAAGAACTGATAAGTCATGGAAACTGAAAAAGCTTGGAAATACAGGCAACCAAAAGCAGTCCCAGAATGAGCAGTCCTTCTCAATGATTATATGAATGCTTACCTGGTCCATGTAGCCCAAGTAATTCTATCAATGGCAGCCTGATCTGTAAGATGTCTTCCCGAAGGCACTTCGTAGACATGCCGTTTATAGCAACCAGTGGACACCTTTCATCATATATTAAAATGGAACAAGAATTCCATTATGTGAGGCAAAATCCAGAAGTTTACAGTATACTAGCAGAGTGCTATCTGGTTTACACTTCTAACATTACTAAGAATGAAAAGATGACTACAAAATCTTGTACAAAAACGTGGAGGAAAGGACTGAGGAACAGGGTAGTAAAAAATGTAGTAAGTAGGAAATGCAAGAGTTTGGAAGCACTGGAACTCAGGCGTTTTAATGCATCAACTAACGAGATGTAGAAGAAATGTACATGTGTCCAGTACTGATACTGCACCTGGAGGTATCTGCTGTCTGCGGAGAAGTCCATTTGGATGACGAAGCTGGGGATGTCTTTGCAGTAGCTGGTTCTGTTAAGGGTGGGGCCCAATGACAAGTCATAAAAATCCACCGAGTTCTCACTAGAACCCACTGCCAGGAACCGGCAATCTGGACTAAATCTGAGTAGGTAACAAAACATGTAAAAGATGCATTAAGTGACAAAGACCTGTGACTGTTCTTTCTAGCTCAAAAGTGTGAACATAAGATTGGCCTCAAACCAATTTACCTACTAGGAACAACTGATTATGTATCCTGAGATATTGGTGTTACATGAAACAAAAAGCTTTATATTTGACTTCAATCTTAAATTGTTTCTGAACTTTTATCTCCTAATTCCTTTAAAAACATTTGTTTTAAAAAAACCACTAACAATTACATAATTACCAAGTTACATAATTCACCTAAGGTAGTCAGGATTCTTTCATCCGGAAACATCGTGTCTTAGCAATAAAGACCAGCTTAATTCACGCAGGTTATCAGAAGAAGGGACATTACTTGAGGCTTGGATGATGTTATTTTAAAAGACAAAGTACTATTTGTCTAGTGATCATGGCAAACTATTCAGTCAGTCTTGTGAAAACTTGCTGAGCTCAGTACCTTAGGGAAGCCATTCCTGTTTTATGTCCTGAAGTTCTGAGGAAGTTTCATTTGGAAAGGGGTTTTAGCGGTGGAGAAAGTGGAAGATTCTGACCTGGATTATTATCTATCTAGATCACATAGAAGTGCTCAGTAAATGGTAGCCACTTAAGCACTGAAAAATGAAAGTTCAAGAAATTCAGATTCTGGGGCATAGCAGGTATTTAGTAAGTATTGAATGAATGAACTATATATTCTGCTGATACTAAGAAAAGTAAGAGATGGTTGGATTACTACTACAGTTTTCCAGGCTGACAACTTTTTAAGGGCAGGGGAAAGGTCACTTCAGCAGGAGGAACTTACTGGGCATCTAACATTCACTGAGTACTTGCTATTATAAGGCACTGTGGTTGGTGCCCAGTGGATTCATAACTTATCAAGAAGGAAATAAGTCTATAAACAGCCATATTTCAGCATACAGTTTATGATGTGATAAAACGCTATGGGCAAGAACCTTTTTTCAAATGCAAACTGGGTCAATTAAAAGGATACTAGGAATACTACATTTGTTGACTAACCTGATATCATGGATTGCACATCGTCTGTCTCTCTTCTTTCCCCATATTTTTAGAGAGCTCACCAATAAAATAATAAATTCTCCATTTTTCATTCCTATAGCCACCATGTCCCCTTCAGGGCTGTAACACACAGTACGAGCAGCATGTCCCAAATTCACTTTGTTTAACATCTTCTGCATAAGAACCAAGAGTCAAAGAGTACTATATTAAGTAGAGTACTTACAGAATAAACCAATTTCTTCCCAAAACTCAACACAATTCTGAAAAATTATAACATCTTTTAAACTGTTTGCACCTACTTTATCAGCAATATCCCAGAGTCTCACTGTCCCATCTTCAGCAGCAGAGAGGAAAAAATCCCTGGAAGGATGTGTTGCAAGTCCCCATATGGGTCCGTCCACATGACCATTAACTAAAATATTACATGCTGCATTTTTCTCTCCAACTTCAATTATTTCAGCATTCCTTGTCCCAACTAGTATCTTGCCCTGAAATACAAGTGGGACCAATAATATTTAATGTAACACTACAGTTCTTTTTAATAAGAATGCCCTATTGACCTATGTGCTACTGTGATTTATAATAAATACAGATTTGGTCTTCATCCCATTTCTGGCACTAAGCTCCTAAAACCCTTGGAATTTACTAAGTGATGAGAGCCTTAAAGGGGTCTTTTGGTATGTTAATGAGGTGCCATTTGGATTCCACTTAAGATTGGATACTGGTTGCCAGGAGACTCAACCATGTGATGAAGGTTGTCACTTTCAGTTCCATCTCACCATCCACCTGGGGATGGTGGAAGGGCTGGAAGTTAAACCAGTAACCAATGGCTAAGGAGTTAATCAGTCCTGACAGATAAGGCCTCCATGGAAATCCAAAGGAGGGAGCTGGTGACCAGGTGGAGGTGAGGGAAGGGTGGCTGCTGGGGGAGCTGAGGCTCCCGCCTGTGCCACATACTTCTACATCTGGCTGAGCAGGAGTCACGTCCTTTTACAGTAAACCCGTGACCTAGTAAGATATCTTGGGAGTTCTGTGAGCTGCTCTAGCAAATGAACCAAACCTAGGGGTGGGAACCCCCAATCTGTAGCCAGTTGGTTGGAAGCACAGGTAACCACCTGGACTAAAGACTGGCGTCTAAAGGGGGTGGGGCAGTCTCCTAGGAGACCCCTCACCTGTAGGATCTGATGCTCTCTCTGGGTAGGCAGTGTCAGAATTGAGTTGAATTTCAGACACCCTGTTGGTGTTGGAGAATTGTTTGGAGTTATGTGGGCTTCCCACACCCTATCCTGTTAGAACTGTATCCAGAACCAAAGCAACCTACTTTCAGAGAACTTGCTGCTTTGCACTAACCTAGCCTATGTGGTTTTCTATGACTAGAGGCCCATTTGCAAGAGCACTGGGCTGGGGGGCATGTCAGAGTCCGTGCTAAAAATGTCGCCTTTTCTCTAAGATAATACACCTGACTTCTCCAATCATCAGGTTTTGACACTGTAAATCTCCAAAGGGGTGTTAAGTGCATTGAGATGTAGGAAGAAAGTTTGGATTTTAATGCAAATAAGTGTAAATAAAAGCTTAACTAATATTTAATATACAGATTGACAGTAATACATGAAGATATATAAATACACTTTTTACAAGTATATGCATAGTCAAAACTTTGTATAGAAATGTGTGTTTTTAAGAAAATGAAACAGCAGCACTAGTCAAAATTAGTAACTGGAAAGGAAATTCAGTTCCATCTACCACCGTTGAATGAGCAGATTCAAGAAAGTATGGAGGACTGAATACAGCCTGAGGTGAGCGCTTCGCTTCCGCCCTGACCCTGCGTGGTGCAGGCTGCACGTGTGCCAATGGCGGCAGTGGAGCTGCAAAGAAAGCAGGGACCCCACAGAATACAGCTGACAAGCAAATCCGCCTAAGGATTACTCCTCGGCTTGCAGAGGGTGAGAATCACGGGGATGATGTTCTCTACTTTCTGCTGCCCCATCATGGCGCAGGATCAGCTTACTCTGCCTCTGCACACGGAACGGACGCAATCTGTGACTTGTCCTGTCTCCAGCCGGAAGGCACGGCATCGCCTCAGCTCCTGATCCCACAGTTTGACTGCCCCTCCTTCTTTTGACCTAACAGCCACCCAAGCAACGAAAAAAGCATTTATTATTGGCTATTACAAGTAATGTTTACTAAAACAAATACTAAATTATAAGCAGGATACTAATAAGGCCCTGATATTTATGATTTACTTCTGATACTGAACATTTTATGGCAATTTTAAGATATACTGTATCTCAAACATTCAGTTTAAGCAAATTTTATTTTATGAAAATTCATTTTTCTGACACGAGCATAATTTTATCTAGTGCCCTCCCCAAACATATCCTTTATAATAGCTCTTGATTAAGGAAATGTACAAAGTGATTTAATGTTAAGAAGACCATAGAAATGTATGGCCAGAGGAAAGGATTCCAGCTGCCATGTTATCGGATATAGTTTTACGGGCCAAAAGAGAAGCACATTTTTTCTACATTATTATTCAAATGTCCTACTGAAAATAAAACCTGAAAAAATATATCTTTTATCTAATAAGCTTCCTATATATGTATACACACACATTTAATATATTCAGGCACTTGTTTGGATTGAGAGGCATCATTGAAATGTTCCATGTTAGCTTTGGCATTTGAACAAGTTCATCCTATTACCTTAGTTATAAAACCATTTCTAAGATCAAAATATCTACTGAAACCGTTTATAGGCTAATGAGTAGGGGTGTGCAAGACTAGATAATTATGGGAAACAGTATCAGAGTAACATAAGATGAAATGTAGCCCATTTATGGTTTTTCTCTTGGAAGGACTGAAACACATACTGCTTTATTTTCTGCTGGATGAACTGCTTGTCTTGGGGAAAAGCATGTTCTTGTACCATAATACAGTCTTCCTTAATGAGAAAGGCAAAAGCAGCTGCATTTGTGTTTAACTGGTGTATGGGGCTCTTGCAATCCTACACTGAAAATGTACTTAGTTCTTGGTCACATTGTATGTTGCACTTTAACATGCATGTGAATATGTTGGCAGGAAATCAATGACAAGTATCTGGTTTCCACTGGATACCTCTCTTCAGACTTAAATTCTGAAGGCCTCTATTAAACAGTTTTATCGAACAAGTTTGCCTCAATCAAAAGCAAATGAGGCAGAGTTTGTTTCTAGCATGCTCTCACCCTTTCTAATGCAGCAATGTGCGTTCTACCCTCAGCATCCAGTCTGAACAAAAGCGAGCAGTAAGATGCATCCTGGGCTCAATGGCAAAGATTCCCCCATGAATCACCTATTTCTCAGCAAAGACTTACACAAGCATATAGACATCAATAAAATCGTCTTTTGCTCTGGCCAGGGTCCTCAGTGGTTAGAGGATAGGCCCTCATACCGAAGTTAGATTCCCAGTCAAGGGCACATACCTGGTTGCAGGTTCGACCAGGGCGCATACAGGAGGCAACCCATTGATGTGTCTCTCTCACATTGATGTTTCTCTCTCTTTCTCCCCTTCCTTCCCTCCTCCTCTCTTTCTTCCCTTCCACCCTCTCCAAAAATAAATGGAAAAAATATTTTCGGGTGAGGATTAACAAAAAAAGAAAATCATCTTTTATTGATTTTAGAGATGAAGGGAGCAAGAGAGAGGGAGAGACATCGATTTGTTGTTCCACAGATTTATGCAATCATTGGCTGATTTGTGTATGTGTGCTGATCAGAGATGGAACCTGCAGCCTTGAAGCATTGGGACAGTGCTCTAACCAACTGAAATACCTGCCCAGGGTCAAGAAAAATAATCAAATCTTAACTTGCAGGACAACAGCCTATCCATACCTCAGAAAAATTATCACCCAAAGTTGCTGGAGATTAATTTATCTACAATGCAAAAAAAAAAAAAAAAAGCCATTTAAAATTAAGCCATGGCAGGTATGGCTCCGTTGTTTGAGCACTGTCCCATGCATGGATAGGTTGCTGGTTTGATTCTCGGTCAGGGCACATGCCTGGTTGCAGCCTCGATCCCCCGTGGGGGACATGCTCAGGAAGCAATCAATGTCTCTCTCTCATTGATGTTTCTATCTCTATCCCTCTCTCTTCCTCTGTCTCTAAAATCAATAAAAAACATAGTTTTTTAGAAGGCAGTAAAATGAGAAGCATATGATGAGGAAAGTCAGAGAGGAGAACCTTAGAAATAACTAGAATAACTAATCAAGCCTCAGGGAGGTCATAATGCATAGCCAGGAAGGCTGTGAAGAAAAAGGACTCACGGCCTTTCCTTGCCCCCCGTCACAATCAGTCCGTCTCGCAGGGTGGTGTACATGGCAAACACAGGCCCGTTGTGGGCTCTGGCCACAACTCTACACAGTATGTGATCTTTCCACACGCAGACATCTCCACTGATGGTACCTGTAAACGTCAAGTTATTCTGAAAAGGAGTGGGGAAGACACACTCATCAAAAGATCCAGTGGAGTTCAAACAGATGCAATTCTTATGTACACATGAGCCTGCCTCCCCGCGGCTACCGAGAGCAGGGCTGGTGGGAGGACATGCGCTCAGCAGCCAGGGAACCTGACCTGCGGCTGCGCCTTGTCAGCGCTCTTTCTGTTCCAGTGCTGTTGCTTACTGGCTGGAATGACCTTGGACCAAACTTTTAACCTCTATGAGTATCAGCTTTTTCATGGGTAAAATGAGGGAAATCAGCCTCTAAGGCAGCGGTTCTCAACCTGTGGGTCGCGACCATCGGAAAACACATATATAATTACATATTGTTTTGTGATTAATCACTATGCTTTAATTATGTTCAATTTGTAACAATGAAAATACATCCTGCATATCAGATATTTACATACGATTCATAACAGTAGCAAAATTACCGTTATGAAGTAGCAATGAAAATAATTTTATGGTTGGGGGTCACCACAACATGAGGAACTGTATTAAAGGGTCGCAGCATTAGGAAGGTTGAGAACCACTGCTAAGGTCTCTTCCAATTACAAATACTACATATTGTCCCTTTGGAATGCTCCCTTGTAGCTGCCAAGAAGTAATTTAAAGGTCACTAGTAACTGAGAGTGAAAAAAAAGTAAAAATAGGAAGTGAAAATAACTTTTTTATTACGTTATCTTGTCATAGAAAATGAAACTACCATCTATAGCAAAGTTGTAGTTTTTCAGATTTTACTAACTCATAATGTTAAAAATGAAATTAACACTTGCCATTTCTTAAAATTAAGGTAGCCAAAGTTAATGCATTTCTGCAATCAATCCAAAATAAGATAAATTTGATAAGGTACCAAAAGCTTATATATGCTTTAGGTCACATTGAGAACTGCAATCCCAATATAGTTCATTATGTGGAAACTGGAAAATGGAAATCCTGCATCACGTGCTATTTTCATCCCATTTTAGCTTCACTTTTAGAACAACTTGTATAAGATCGTTCACCCAAAACAATATGGAAAGAATCAATAGGAAAATAGACGGAATGATAATAGAAACAAACAGAGATTTTTCTTTAATCTTCCTGAGAATACTAGTTTGTATGTTTAATTTCCCTACAACTTACTGTCACTGTGAATTCCTCAGCATATATACTTATAGCTCATATTTGAGTAACAATGACATCTGTCATCTAAGAGCAGCGTTAATTCATGCCTTATGTGCAGTTAGAATGTAAATGCTCAAAGTGTAAAAACCAGTATCTTATTTCTCCGGCTGTTTTCATAGCCTAGCAGAGAGCTTCACAGGCTTAAACCGAAGAAAACTCACCTTGTTTTGTAACAAAACATTCTCACTGATTGCATTGTTGCTTCAAACATAAAAGTATGACTCATATTTTAGTCTTCACATTTATTTTGTGTTGGGAATAGGCAATTAACTACCTAAGGAATTTTGTATGTGAAGGTTAATCTACATGGGCAAATTAAACGCCAGGAGCATTTGAATGTGTGGGTTTTCCTTCTGGAAAGGAATTACTGATCTTATATTAAGAATTCCCAAAAGATTTAACTGGTTTGACATGGTGTTGTCAACATTTTTAATGGTCTTTTTTTTCTCAAGAACACGAGTGTGCTTAAAGGTTCTAAAATTGTAATTTTCTTCAAGGATTACATACCCACGTAAATACTTTAGTAAGGAAACCCAGTTAGTTTTCAATGCACCAGGGACAGGGTCTTTAAGGAGAGATGTGAATTGTAAAACAGTCCCAGATGGGATGGGAGGGGCAGTAAGTGGCTCTTTTGAACACTTTCTATTAAGTTTAAGAGCAGTTGTGCTCTGGCCAGTGTATCACAGTGGTTAGAGCATTGACCCAAGCACCGAAGGGTCCTGGTTGGGTTGGGAGTAGGAGATGAGCAGGAGGCAACCCGTTGATGTGTCTCTCTCACATCAGTATTTCTCTCCCCCCGCCTCCCTCCTTTCCACTCTCTGAAAAGCCATGGAAAATACCCTCATGTGAGGATTAACAAGCACAAAAAGACCAGTGTGCTCTCTTCCCTGAATGAGAGCCACTGGCCCAAAGCACTTCCGACTATGTAAGAAGCAGAGTTAAGATGATAAAAAGCAGAGGAAATCCTAAACCCAAGTACCACCTTTTAAACACTTGAAAATTACATTTTTTGATTTATATCTCTTTTATTCTCAAAAATTTTTAGGGCCTAGGAGATTTAGGATAACAATTATAAGATCAACGAAGGCTTTTGAGAATGGCAATGGCCCAGGGTTTCATTATAGTTCTCCCTCATTAACTTTCTCACTCTCTGATTTCTGAGAGTATCAGATTCTTAAAGATGAAATATATGCATGACCGGGACATATGTAATGATTGGATTCCAGTGCCATCTAAACATCATTAATGTGATTTATCTAAGGCAAGAAAATTCAAAGTAGTCCAATTTAGGTAATTCAAAGTACACTACCACACGCATTTTAAGAGACATACTGCACCAAATGCAACAGCCAGCATGGTCTGCATCCGGGCATCTTCGAGGGTGCTCAGCAGCCCTTTTTTGCTCAGAAGAGCCCTTCCCGCCAGTGTCCAGAACTTCACGTGCTTTACTCCCACAGAGACAAACTGGGAATCTGAGTCTGGTCGGAATTCTGCCACAAAAATACGTTGGTTGTGACCAGCTTTGCTGGCAATTTTGGCACCTGATAAAAAAAGATAAGACAAAATCATGTAGGTTAATATAAGAATTAAGCTAATTTTCATAGAATCAAACAGTTACTCAAAATATGTAGTTCAAAAAGCAAATGATTATTTAAAAAAGTGAGAGGGCGTGTCCCTTCCACTGCTACCTAGCAACCACATGATATACAATTACTTGTGTAGAGGGTCCTTTCTACATATTTTTGCAAGTGATGTGTGTACAGAGAGCTTCATTATCATTTAAGGGGCATTTTATTTATTTAGTTTTGGTTTATAAAATTCATTAAAACTGGATTGTTCTTCCTTCCCATGAGCATCCACCCAGCTGCCTTGCAAATTCAGCTGCAGAACTGCTCTCATCATTTAAGCCCAGTCTGTCACCGGTGACTGGCACTATACTTCCCATCCAGAAGACAAAACAGGCTGGGTGCTTAATGTGTTAAGGGGCATTTTAGGTTTTAGAAACCATATCTTATTTTTTTCTATGTAGCTCTATGAATTTAACTTTTTCTAGTAGCTATGTATCTGAAGAGTTTTGTCTGAATATTAAATAAAATTACCCTATTAATCTTCCATTATCACTTACAATATAGTTCACTTCCATTCTTGATTAAGAACCTCCTAGCCCAGTGATGGCGAACCTTTTGAGCTCAGCGTGTCAGCATTTTGAAAAACCCTAACTTAACTCTGGTGCCGTGTCACATATAGAAATTTTTTGATATTTGCAACCATAGTAAAACAAAGACTTATACTTTTGATATTTATTTTATGTATTTAAATGCCATTTAACAAAGAAAAATCAACCAAAAAAATGAGTTCGCATGTCACCTCTGACACGCGTGTCATAGGGTCGCCATCACTGTCCTAGCCAAACAAAAATCAGCAAAATGCTTATATACATAATTTCTTACTGAAAGAAAAGAGCAGTGAACCATTTATAATATTAACTTTATTAGGTTATGTTTTGCGAGCTTGCAATTTTGCTGGGCTTTTTAAGAGGGATGTAACAATAACACCAGCTGTGTGCTGTGTATTGTCCAGGTTATTGTGAATAATGGTTTCAATCATCAAGTTAAGGCAAACACTAAATTGAGAATTCATGTTACCATAGTATTCTTATTTTTTTTTTAATATATTTTATTGATTTCTTACAGAGAGGAAGGGAGAGAGATAGAGAGTTAGAAACATCGATGAGAGAGAAACATCAATCAGCTGCCTCCTGCACACCCCCTGGGGATGTGCCCGCAACCCAGGTACATGCCCTTGACTGGAATCGAACCTGGGACCTTTCAGTCTGCAGGCCGACGCTCTATCCACTGAGCCAAACCGGTTTCGGCAGTATTCTTATTTTTAAAAATCACAAAGGAAAAGAATCCTACCTTCCTGCCATCTCCAAATGGTAACAGTATGTTCTGGGTCTAGTCCCACAGACAGCAAGAGTTTGCCAGTAGCACTGAAGCTGACTGAACACACGCCCTTCGAATGGTAGCATCTTAGTATAGCTAACGTCTGCTTGTTCACTGCATCCCAGATGTGGACAGAAGGAGCTGTAGCTAAATACAGATAAAATCCAAAAGTTGTAACACACCTCTCACAAATGTTTCCATACTCATCTCTGAAACATGGAAAGGCATACTCACCTCTGAAACATGGAAAAATAAGTACCAAAGAAAGACTACATACTTAATTTAAAAATGCATAACTAAGACTAAATTAAGAAAAAGGAAGAGAAAGGAAAGGGTAAAAATACAGAATACTTCTTCAGTCTACTAGTATAGTCCAAACTGCACTTTTGACAAAGTAGCATTTGGATAAGCAAATTAGGTAATCACAACTTTAAACAGCTCCTCAAAAATAATACATGTTTTAGATGCATGTTAAATCTTACAGAATTATGTGGAGACATATACAAACATTACACAATTAAAGACCAGGGTATATTCAATACTTAGGATTATCTCAAGGAGAGATTGAAAAGTAAACACAAACTGAGAAAAGCAACATATAGAAAACTATGGAAAAATATTTCTAAGGAAATGTTTAACTGGATATTGGGTAAAATGCTAACTCCATATCACTTTATAGACAGTTTTTTTAAACACAGGATTTTATGGAAGAAATCTTTTTTTTTTAAGTTACTTTTGTTGTTATTTATCTTGCAGAGCCCATTTCTGCTGCTTAAAAAAGAAATTCTCAGCTCTCTATTTTCTAAGTTAAAGAATCACAGGTTTGTATTATTGTCCTTTTTTCATGAACTGTACCCTTAAAAAATAGATACGTTAATTCAGCAGCTAATTCAGTCTCAGAACTCTTAGTAAAATAATCATAATACTAACGTCATTTGTTTTAAATTATAAATTTACTACAAATACTGTATTGCAAAAATAGAGAAATATTAAGACAAGCTGCTTTAAAACCATTTGGTGCAGAAAGAAACTTTGGTCTCTAAAGAAAATATTCTGATCAATTTAGACTCTATTGTATACCATCTACAATTTATATTATACAATGATAAATTAAATCTGATAGTTCCTCAAACAAAGGAGATACAATATATTAAACCAGGAATTTAAATTTTATTATTATTAAGTAGGGACTATTCAAAGATTTATGCAACTTTCTCTTAAAGTTATCCTTTATTTAATTTTTAAACTTTTTCAATTACAGTAACAAGTTTTATGTAACTTTATGTAAAAAATCAAAACTACATGGCAACAGATACAAAGGGTTACCCTATAATAAAATAAGATATCTATGTATGAAAAACAGATAATAATTTAAGTATTGGACTAAAATGTTGCTCATTCAATAAAAGTCAAAGGATATGGGGACTGTAAACTTAATAAGCCATGTTAGGTGGTTCAAATTTAAAATGTAAATACATACTAGTAGATCACTCTAATTTTTTGCCAGTGATAAACATTACATGGATCATAATGTAAAAACATTTTAATATGTTTACAAAAAGCACCTCTGGGCAATTCATATACTACATTTGCCTAAATGTGATGAGGTAGATAATGGACTTTCAAGAAACATCACTTATTTTTGTCTCCAAACTTAATATGCCACAAATTACACAGTTCAATTTACCTAAAATTTAAATAGCAAATAATCTTAGATAAATTGAATTACTGAGCTTTTCAAACATTTATAAAAATTATATGAGGTGGAAAGAAACTTATAGCAGAATTTATATTTTAAAACATATAAGTATGACTATGTTATGGGACTGCTCCACATTTAGATTGTTCTAAACTTATTGATATAACAGTCGTTAAAATTTAAATTACTGTAAATTCTCAAGGCCTAACTTACAAAATAAGTATTAAGTTTATTAAGTATATTTTATTTTCTCCTATATAGCTGTCCCTCAGTTTCCCTGGGGGATTGGTACCAAAATCCGGGGGTGTTCAAGTCCCTTATGTAAAATGATGATATAGTATTTGCATATACCCTGTATTTGCCTAAAGGCTATGGCAGTGTTCACTTCATTTGCATGGATTCAGCACAGTGCTCAGCGTGTGGCAAATTCAAATTTTGTTTTTTGGGATTTTGGGGGAGCTTTTTCTTCTGGGTAATTTTAATCTGCCGTTGGTGGCCCATGGATATGGAGGGCCAACTGTGATTTCAGAATGGCCATTCTCTCTGCTGCCGTAACACAGATGCTACTCTTGCTCTCTGCTTCCTATATGCCACCAGATATGAGTGCCTCTCATGGACCAGGCACATTACCAGGAACATCTCATGCTTTCCAATCCCTACTTCTAGACAGGTATGTTTTCCCACGGACTCAGGCTCAGAGAGGTGAAGTGCTTTGCCTGAGTTACACACAGCTCAGGGCGAGCAGAGCCAGCAGGTGTGCTGTAGTCAGTCCCCAGGCTCTTGTCTGTCCATCACATCAAGCTGCCTCTGGAAAAGCAATCCCCCCAACTTCTCATGACATCCTTGACTCTTAGTCTCCAGTACAGAGATGCCAGTAGGGTCTCCTTAAATTACAGCAAATCACAGAACCGTGCTTTATGCCCGAGGAGGGGAGGGCAGGGAAAGAGTTACAGATCACTGGGAAATGTTTTCTTGTTAAACTGCTAATTCTTACTATACCATGTAAACTGAAAGTTGAGTTGAAAAGCCTAGTTATTATACAGGGTGTCCCCCAAAAATGTATACACACATTCTGAATAATTATAAAGGCAGTGTTTATTAAAATACATTTTATTTTCAAAATTGAGCTATCAGTTATTAAAGTGTGTATACATTTTGGGGGGATACCCTGTATATCTAAAAGCAATGAACACATTTTTTATTTAATAGCTTTATAAATTCACAAGCCCATGGTCAAAATCATTAATAAAAAGTTATTTATAAATATTCAAATGATCTGTTGATCTAGCACAGTGATGGTGAACCTTTTGAGCTCGGCGTGTCTGCATTTTGAAAAACCCTAACTTAACTCTGGTGCTGTGTCACATATAGAAATTTTTTGACATGTGCAACCATAGTAAAACAAAGACTTATGTTTTTGATATTTATTTTATATATTTAAATGCCATTTAACAAAGAAAAATCAACCAAAAAAATGAGTTCGCGTGTCACCTGACACGCGTGTCATAGGTTTGCTATCACTGACCTAGCATGTGCAATAATTGTGATAGTATATAAAAATAAAAATTTAAAAATTATATTTTCAGACAATAAAATTTATTGATTCATATTTAAGATTAAGTGTTAAACCCTCTACTTTTAACAGCTACCTGACATTGGCAAGTTAATACCTACCGTGAAGAATTCTTGTGATGACTAAATAGGTTATATGTATAGTGCTTACAATAGTGCTGGGCACACTAAAAAGGTCAAAATATAGTATTACTTTAAAAAAATTATTATTGTTATTATTACAAATTGGGCTCAATATCATGACATTAAGAGGATGTATTCTTCATTTTTAAAACATCCAAAATAGGTTCAAGTATCTCATTACTTTATGAAAATATGGACTACATTACTAAACAATATAACTAAAACAAAAAAAATGATTAATTTTCCTTACGTGACATGTCTGCTGAATCACCTAAAATGGAAAAGGAGCAGAAAAATAATTATCCATTAATAACATAATACTAAAAGTAAAATTTGAAAAACTCAATTATAAAATAGTGATTTTATATAATTTAAATAATCAAGTGTCATACAAAATTAATTTTATGTGAAACTGAGTAAACTGTAAATGAAGCTAATAATTTAAATTATACATACATATTAACATTCTATATATATGACCTTTCAAACTTTGGATTAATACTTTATTTTCTTTGTATTTGATAAGTTAAATAAAATTTTAACTTTAAAAATAATAATATGATTTAAGTTGATATGATCCTCATTTCGTTTTACAAAATGAACTGTTAATAGACCCTTTAAGGTTAGAATGCATCTCTACTTGAAGGGGAGAATTAGTTCTAAACCTGAGAGAAATGATGGCAAAATTTACCATATAATTCAAGGCCATAAATTAACCATGCTCATTTTTTTTTTTTTAACTAAATATTTTCTGTATGAGTAAAAGGTTACCAATACAGAAAACATGGAAGTCTAAGCTCGTTATGTTTGTGGTAGAAATACCTATTAGCCAAAATTTTAGAAGTGGCAGTTTTTAGCAATAAAGGCATAAAAATTTAGAAATCCTTTCAAGGCAGATGATGGCTTTGGGAAATAATGATTTCAAGGACGTATGGATAATGAAGGCCCAGGGTGTGCTGACATGGAATGTGAGAAAAAAGAGAGTATCGTAGCTGATGGCTGAGCAGACGCATAGGAAACACACTGATGGTTGTGAACTGCTCTGACGACAACCAAAGGGGGAGGACTGACACCGCGCCACAGGAAGCACGGCTGGGGAACCCGGGCACTCTGTTTGGAAGTCAGGCTTGGCCCTGAATATCTGCAGGACCTGGGACAAGAGTACAAATAAAGACCTAAACATCACAGGCCTAAATATTTTCAAGTTACCAATCAAGATAAAATTAAGTGAAGTGTTTTATCTTCCTATCTTGACAAGTACCCCCCTATAACAACTTTGAAGACCTGGTTTGATTTTAGAACTCATTAGAATTTGGGCAGCATGAGACAGCCTTAGCCTCTCCCTTTCTCTTCCCCTCCCAGCTTTATCCCCTACCACAGGAGCATGGCAGCTCATGTGTAGCCATCCACCCTGCACATCAAAGGCCTTCACCACCTCCCAACGCACGCTGCCCCTTGGGCATCCTCAAGAGGGCTCTCACTAGTTGTGCAATCTATGACCGGGGGCTTGGACTTGCAGAAGAGGCTCAGACAGGCCCACAGCAGGTTTAGGACCATTTGATAGAGAATTCTGGGTTTTCAGATATCATAGTCATGGAAAGCAATCCCATTGCTCTCATTTTACTCTGACTTATGAAATGTATTTGGAGGATGTCTAAAGTGAGCCCTTTTATTTTTATTTTTTTAATTAAATCTTTATTGTTCAGATTATTACATTTGTTCCTCTTTTTTCCCCCCATAACTCCCCTCCTCCCAGTTCCCACCCCACCCTCCGCCCTCACTCCCCACCCACTGTCCTCATCCACAGGTGCACCATTTTTGTCCAGTCTCTTCCCGCATCTCCCACACCCCTTCCCCCCAACCCCCGCCGCCAAAAATAGTCCACTCCCTTTCTATGTCCCTGATTCTATTATAATCACCAGTTCATTCTGTTCATCAGATTATTGATTCACTTGGTTTTTAGATTCACTTGTTGATAGATGCATATTTGTTGTTCATAATTTGTATCTTTACCTTCTTCTTCTTCCTCCTCTTCTTAAAGGATACCTTTCAGCATTTCATATAATACTGGTTTGGTGGTGATGAACTCCTTTAGCTTTTCCTTATCTGTGAAGCTCTTTATCTGACCTTCAGTTCTGAATGATAGCTTTGCTGGATAAAGTAGTCTTGGTTGTAGGTTCTTGGCATTCATCACTTTGAATATTTCTTGCCACTCCCTTCTGGCCTGCAAAGTTTCTGTTGAGAAATCAGCTGACAGTCGTATGGGTATTCCCTTGTAGGTAACTGAGTTTCTTTCTCTTGCTGCTTTTAAGATTCTCTCTTTGTCTTTTGCTCTTGGCATTTTAATTATGATGTGTCTTGGTGTGGTCCTCTTTGGATTCCTTTTGTTTGGGGTTCTCTGCGCTTCCTGGACTTGTAAGTCTATTTCTTTCACCAGATAGGGGAAGTTTTCTGTCATTATTTCTTCAAATAGGTTTTCAATATCTTGCTCTCTCTCATCTTCTGGCACCCCTATAATTCTGATGTTGGTACGCTTGAAGCTGTCCCAGAGGCTCCTTACACTATCTTCGTATTTTCGGATTTTTTCATTTTGCTTTTCCGGTTGGGTGTTTTTTGCTTCTTCGCATTTCAAATCTTTGACTTGATTCTTGCGCTCCTCTGGTCTGCTGTTGGGAGTCTTTATAATATTCGTTATTTCAGTCCGTGTATGCTTAATTTCTAGTTGGTTCTTTATCACAACATCGAGGGTCTCATTAGATTTCTTGTAGATCTCATTAAGTTTATCGGCAGTTTCTAGAAACTTATTGAAAGACCTTAAAAGTGTGGTTCTGAACTCTATATCCTCCACTGACAATTTTGTCCTGTTTCTTTGTCTCCCCATTTTTTATGCTTTCTTGGTGCACCCCCTAGTGTTCTTTGTGTGCAGTCTTGTTGTAGTTAAGCCTTGATTGTTATAGGTAATACTGGGAGGGATTTGCCCTCCAGGCCAACTGGCTGTGAGAATCAGCTGTGTCTGCAGTGGGAAAACTTCTGTCCTCTGGGGAGGTGCTAATCTAGCCTTTGCCTGAGGCTATCCAGCAAATGCCTCTGTGCAGGGCTTGGGCAGGGCGGGCGGAGGGAGCAGTTATGGCTGTTCTCAGTCCCGTCCCCAGAGGCTATGCCTCTCAGAATCCCAGCAACCGCTGCAAACCTCGGAGAGAAAGCTGCCCTCGAGTTCCGACCGATTCCAGACAGTCCTGCTTCTCCCATTTGAGTCTGGGTCCCTAGAGACTCGCCGGGAACGGGCGCTCAGAGCCTGAGACTCCTTCCCGATTGAAACAGACAACCGCGCCCTCAGCCGCCAGCCCGCTCCGCGCGCACCTCCGCACCTTTGTATTTTCTGCACTGCGCCTCCTCTGAGTCTCGGTATGCTGTTCTCTTTCCTTCTAGTTGAAGAATTTCCCTTCAGCCAGCCTTCCTGTGGTTCTGGGTGATGTCCGTTCCGTCTTTTAGTTGTATTTTTGAAGTGGTTGTGCGAGGCAGCAATCTCCAGTGTTTACCTATGCCGCCATCTTGGTTCTAAGTGAGCCCTTTTAGAGGCTAGGTTAGACTAGATTAGACTCGGGGAGATTGACAGTTCTCTCCAAATACTGGAAGATAACATCATGGGAGTAAGAAATTAGCTGTTCTAGCCCTAGTTGGTTTGGCTCAGTGGATAGAGTGTCGGCCTGCAAACTGAAGGGTCTCAGGTTCGATTCCTGTCAAGGACATGTGTTTGGGTTGCAGGTTCGTTCCCCAGTAGGGGGCGTGCAGGAGGCAGCCAATCAATGATTCTCTCTCATCATTGATGTTTCTATCTCTCTCTCCCTTCCTCTCTGAAATCAATAAAAAATTTAAAAAAAAAAGAAATTAGCTGTTCTAGGTGCCTCAAGAATGAGGACCAATGAGGTGCAATTAAAGAGACAGATTTGTGTTCTGTATAAAGAAGCACTTTATAATTGAGCTTCCCAAGGAGAGGTTACATTATTTTGTTAAGCATTAAGTGATGATGGGGTTCAATCATATGTAGGAAGACCCTTCACCAGAGATGTTACAGAGGACATTCAAACATCTAATGATAGACTAGATAAAATGATATTATTTGTCCCTGGGATTCCAAGATTCCAGTCAAGAAAACAAGAAAAGTTTGAATGTAATGGGGTAAAATATGAAAAAAAGCAAAGTATTTCAATTCTTCTATGATCTATATAATTTTCAACAAAGAGAACCATAAACATTATAGTGTTCTGTGCTTTGTGGGTGTTAAAAAAAAGCTTGGCAGGCAAAGTAACTACTGATTCAATTCTTTTTAGGTTCAGAAGAAAAAAAGTCCCTCACTCTTTGGTCTCTCTGGAATCTATCTTACACTTAACTAGTCATCAGTAAAGAACTTCTGTTATGGGTTTTGTGGGAGGGTACAAGTGGGGGCAAGGCTCAGGCTACTCTGCACTGCCTGGACTTAGAAGGAGAGGGGAGGCAGTAACTAATCATTCCACATTCCCTATAGTATTGCCTTTTAAAAAGTACAAATGTCAAGTCATTATGGTGTATATCTGAAACTAACATAGTGTAGTATGTCAATTTTAAAAAAAGGATAAGAAGTGGACGAGTCAAATTCCGTGAAAGATTAACTTGTGATCACATTTCTTAGTCAAAAGAGAAAACTATAACACTAACATATTAAAGTTGCTTAACAGAGGGAGAGAAGAGGAAAGAAAAGGAGAAGGAGCAACGGTGGAGAATGGAAGAAACATGCCTTCCAGAATTTTATTCACAGAATGTAAACTCCATTAAGATAGAGATTTGGGGTTTGTTTTTCTTTTATAAGCTTCTTGTATATCCAGAACCTAGAACAATACTTTGAACATGATATGTGCTCAATAAACTTGTTGAAGAAATAAATCCACTCAATCAAAATTAACTGAGCAATAAAAAAGTAAAGTATATGCCAAGAGAGGCACTGAACTAGGTTCTTTAGTGACCAAAATGGCAATAACATGGCCTCGCATTCCTCAGGCAGAGTAAACACAAAATTCAGTTTCAAAACACTTAACCGAAAAAGGGGTTAGACCTATGCTTTTATATTCAAAGATTAGAATAGTTTGTATATAACAGGTGAAATATTGGTCTACGTTCTTTGCAAAAGTAGAAAATTTTACAGAAAGAAAGAATACAAGGGTCTTTGTGGTATCACTGTAGAACTAAGCAACCCAGAAAATAAGTATTTAACTGATCGATTTAGTGCCTGCATGAAAATGAAGATATTAAAGGCATAAATCATCTTAGGAAGAAAGACACCTGGAACACCTGGGAAGCTGGCTTAGCAACTGAGGCCCAACAAACCCAGGGTTCCAATCATTTCTAAAAACTGTACCACGTTGTGAAGATGTGACTGACATAATCTATTATGCAGAATTCATACTGATTGCGGATTGACTGGTAGGTATGTCCTAACTAGACCTGCTGTCCTCTCATCATTTTGCTGGTAGGGTTATGGCCTTTGTTCCACCGATTTAAACCCAGCAGTAGAGGTGATGATTTAGAAACAGCTGGCAAATTAGATCCATTCCAAGGAGGGAGAAAGGCAGTGGGGTTTGCTAGCACAGAGCAGATGTGGCTTCTCTTCTTTCCAGCTAATAGCCCTGCTGTAGCAGAGGCTGCCTGCCCCCTCACCTAGTTATGTCCTGGCTCCCCTTGGTTACCGTGTCTTCCTCAAATTCTTCCTTCCTGCTCTACATGCTATTAAATTAAACCTTTTTGCTGATTTGAAATTTCTGCTAAAGGACTAAATCCAACTATTTCAATCAACATAAAATAGCTTATTCTTAATTTTGAACTGTTTGAATCAACTCAGATAACTGAGGTGAAAGAAAGATACCCGGAAATAAGTAATATGGTCAAACTGGGTGTGTGCTTTATGTGCAAATAATTTTTGAAAAATAAACAATATATTTTAATTTTTTCCTTAGGATACCAAATCATTTAAAATTGTTTCTTTTAAAATACACAAACATACCTACTTGGCCAGTTGCTACTATGTTGATGAATTTGGGATGCTGATTTACAGTGAGGCACAGAATATCATCATTATGTTCCTGATAAAAACTCTGAGTTCCTACAAAAAAATAATTTGAGAATTAAATTTTAAAACTTTAAAGTATAACAGCCAAATGCACTAAATGCTATTATCCACAGCAATAAACTGCTCTGTTTAACTTACTTGCTTCTTTAACACATATTTTTGAGCACTTAATATGTGCACATCATCATGAAGATGGAAAAATGACCCAGAAACCTTAAAGTTTAAAGGGATAGAGCCCTGAAAAGGCATAAACCGATGTGATACAGGCTGGAGACACAAGTGCCACAGAGTCAAAGATCAAACGCTGTGGGGATCCACAGCAGAGAAGTCTTCTGATCCTGGCATGTGGCACTGCTGGACTGACCCGGCACATTCGGTAAATGTGAAGGTGGGTGGGAAGGGCATTCCAGGTAGAAGAATATCTGAAGCAAAGGTAAAAGGCAGGAAAGTATTGGGTAAGCACACAAGGGGTTCACTTGGCTGAAGTGTGGGGTCATAAAAAAGAAAAGTGAGAAATATGGTTGAAAGGCAAATTGAATCACAGAGGAATTTGAATGCCATTCTATTAAATTTCATATTCTATAATCAGCGGGGAGGCACTGAAGAATTTTACTTATTTAATTTAGAGAGAGAGAGAGAGAGAGAGAGAGAGAGAGAGAGAGGAAGGAAGGAAGGAAGGAAGGAAGGAAGGAAGGGAGAGGGGGAGAGAGAAATACACCAATGAAAGTTAAATATCGATTGGCTTTCCAAAGCTTCAGTATGAACACCACCCACCTCATCCCCACCCCCAGCAATCAGCTCACCCAGCATGCTACTTTCAATCACTCTGAAAGACCACCATCCAAATCATCAACATAATAAAGTTACAATGGTTTCAACATACAGTAAACCTTCGCTCAGAGACCTGTGAGCACTTGGCATTATGAAACCCTTTTCTGCTCCTATACTCTAGTGAGATTGTAAATTTGGTTACTTGAAATATTAGTAGGAAGTTCTACAGTATGAAGTATATTCTGGGCTCATGCATTTTAATTATTTATAGTTTTAACTAAGAATTTTAAGATGCTAAATTAAAAAATCCTAAATTTAAGAAAAAGTAGGGATGAGGAATCAGGGTTTCCTACCTGTAGCAACATTGTGCAGAATTCCAATGGATGCAGTATGATAAATTATATCATCACCATCATTTAAATAGTGAACATTATTCCTACAGTCTCTGCCTCGATAGCCAAAAACAAGCTCCAACATGAGATCCTATAACAATGATAAAACCATGATATGATTCCTCATGTCTAAATATTCACCATTTTTAAAAATTGTATACAGTATTGGTATCTTCAGACAAAATAAAGGATGCATTTCTGATGTTTTACAAACTGCAAACACAAAATTAAACTAGACATACTTCTTTATGTAACCTGTTTTGGACAGCTAAAACACACATTCTATCTTTTCCACATCAAGTTGTAAAAATGAAAAGGAAAGCACAAGGTCATCTGATTCCAGGAATTTCGGTTCTTAAAGATTTTATGGGTTAAAAATTGAGATACTTCTGTCTAAAAGAAGAATATTCCGATTTGTGTTCATTATTCAAAATATCTGTTAGTCAAGATAACAGCTATTTTGACTATTATAACTCAGTAGGAATTAGGTCCCGGGGTGCACTTTTGAGGATGGGAGCAGTACAGCGACATGGGTGCACAAGGGCAGTGCACCCTCCCTGACCACTCATGCTCTCATTGACCTGAGGCTGAGTGGGGCAGGGAGGACAACAATCACCCTCCCACAGTTTTGACACCTTATTTTTGACCCAACGTAGCACAGTCTGCTTGTTGCTGCTGATACTGGGATTATGAAATGCCTGGGAGAGACAGAGGATGTCAATCTAAAGCTCAGACTTGACATTTAATCAATTTTTACAATCAAACAAAAATGATTATTCAATATGTTTATTTTCATTAAAACTAAGATTTGGGTATTTTACAAAAAGGAAACAGAATGAACTAGAGAATGAGTTTTCCTCACCTCTATGGGTCTTTTTTTCTTGCCAACATTGTTTGTCTGGAGTTTCTCTGGCTGTGGCGGGGCCCTGCTCACGGGGGGCCTGAAAGAGGGAAGTGGGAATGAGGAGAGGCACTTGTCACGGGCACCTTCCTGGAGCCGCCCTCTCGTGCCCTCCAGAGAGAAAAGTCTAACACGCCTTCATAAAAACACGCCCCATCTGCATGCTCACTAGACTGTGCCCTCTCTATCTTGATATCCTCTAAAACACGAAGGCATTTGATCTTTTATTCATTTTACTTTTAATTTCTTTAGTGTATGTTTCATAATGTAAATACTATACTAGTAACAGAGCAGACTGCTTAGATTCTTCTTGAACTGAATTTTGAAAATATTTCTATGAATTTTCTATTGGCAACAGAAATCACGTCTGAGTTCGAATCTGTACTCTTACCTGCCACTCTGCGCCTACCTTCTCCCTCTTGCAGTCCCTAGCATGGTCGTGGCATCACCATCAGTCCAGCAGGACACAGTATAGGTACGAAGCACGTAAATCATATCACGCTCCGTAAAAGGTGATGGCTATTACTACTGCCTCCAACTCCTTCTCTTCTCTTCTGTTTACTAAAGTCTTATCAACTTCACCTGCACAGCAGCTCTCCAAAATCTAGCTCCCTCTTCTCTGTTCCCACTGCTAGTTCAGGACTATTCATAATGTCCCATTAGGTGTACATAGTTCCCATTTTGAATAATTTGAATGTAGAGGCTCTTTCCTAAAATTCTTTTTAAAATAAAAATTTAAAAACTCCACATCATTTAGTTTTAACTGATATAATCATTAAATGTTTAATATCCTGAACAATGAATCTAAATTAATCATATATCACCCCCCCTCCAAATTTTAAGCTAATATTCATTTTAAAAAATGTTTTTATTGATTTAAAGAGAGGAAGGGACAGGAATAGAGAGAATGAAACAGGAATCCACTGCCTCTTGCACGCCCCCTACTGGGAATTGAGCCCACAACCAGGCATGTGCCCTGACCGGGAATAGAACCTGTGACCTCTTGGTTCATGGGTTGACACTCAACTACTGAGCCACACCCACTGGGCTAACATTTAAAAATTTTTAACAACAAAATCAGGAAATGATACAAATTAACTTTCCTCTGAAAAATTCCAATATTTATGAATAAGTCCATAAAAATAAAGGCATAACAACATTTGTATTTTCAAAATGGGTTTCAAGTTATTTATCCATAAAAAGTAAATGAAGTGTTATGTCTTGAACATCTATAATAATTAAAGCATAATATGCTAATTAGACCAGAAAGCCATGGTGGGTGGGGGTGGAGGCAGAGGTGGCCGGCAGGGGCCGAGGCGGCGGTGGGGGTGGGGGCAGTGGGGGCCGAGCCCCTTGCACGAATTTTGTGCATCGGGCCTCTAGTGTAGTAGGAAAGAGTGTGCATTTTCATGTTCAGCAGCTTATGTAGAAGTACATAACCTTGACTGGCTGGTGGCATAAAAATTAAATGCACTTACAAGACTATATAAAGAGCTTTTCAAATTATCACAAAAATTTTGGTTTGAAACCTTTTTCATGTACTTTAAAGATATATATAATTAATAAATATAACTGAAATGTACAATGTTTAACTCAAAATATTTGTGCTAGGATCATTTCCGAGAAGAACAGCAGCTTTGGTCGCTTCCAAGCCTTTTTATTTTTTTAAATATATTTTATTGATTTTTTACAGAGAGGAAGGGAGAGGGATAGAGAGTTAGAAACATCGATGAGAGAGAAACATCGATCAGCTGCCTCCTGCACACCCCCTCCTGGGGATGTGCCCACAACCAAGGTACATGCCCTTGACCAGAATCGAACCTGGGACCTTTCAGTCCGCAGGCCAACGCTCCATCCACTGAGCCAAACCGGTCAGGGCAAGCCTTTTTGTTGAACCTGATTCAACGCTATCATTTGATAGTTGTAATTTTTACCTATACAATCCCATGTAACAGTTAAGTATACTTTAATCTCTGTAAAAATAACTCATATAGCGTACATTATTGCTTAAAATTACGCAGCTTGCAATATTACACAAGTTAAATGGATAATGTTTCAGAGAAGTAGTTACTTATATGTGAATCCAATAATTAAGATGCTGTTCATTTCAGAAATACTCACTTCAAAGGAGAAAAACATAAACTGTGATTAGAAGTAAAGAACACCAAGTAACATAGCTCATTAATGGGAAACATAAAAGAAGATACAAATACAAAATTAGGCCTCATAAGACATAGCAAAGAAAGAGGATTACCTGGAACCTCTTTTTAGCAGCAGATAAAAAGGGGAAAAGATTACAACACAGATTTAATTTAAAACACTAGTAAAATACTTCCTGTAATAAAATATTTTTTACAAACTGAATGCAGATAAGCTATATTGTATATTTTAAAGGCCTATTGTTTTTATTTATTACTGCATATTAGAAAAGACTTAAGTTACTCCATTAATGGCAGGGAAATAAGAAAGGTGAAGAAGAAAAATAAATGAGAATTCAACATGTTCTGTTATAAATGTTAAAACTTGCAAAAAAACCCCAGATTAATTCCTGCTGTCTGCAAATTAAGGAGCGTCCAATATTTGAATTTCTATACAATCTCTTTTCAAATATCCTTTTTTCATCCTTACCTCCCAGCATTTTCCTAATGGTACCTTTTTTAAAAAAAACTTCTAAAGGAGCCTTTACCACAAATGGTTCTGCTTCAGAAACGGTTTAGAGACACTCTCATCTCCATACAAATAGCTACAGAAGTACCCCAGAGTCCTTGCACATAATTTTATCAAACATACATATACATTTACTGCCCTATATTAATGTTTTAAAATTCATGGAGACATTAAACATGCATGAAATGACCCTTAGAGGTTTATAAACTGAAACTTTTTCCACTGATAAAAATGTATGGCTAACAGATTGTTTTTATCAGTCTCTGAAACTTAAGGAAAAACTGAAACTATCTTGAGTATAGGAGTCTATGAAAAGTCATTTTAAAACCAATGATCATAATCAAGACTCTCATAACAACACCCACATATTGTATTTATAAAATGCAACTATTTTGTAGGATTTGTCCTGTTTCATTTTCTGATTCTTTCTTGACACATGTAGTTCAATGTTTAATAGGGGAAAAATATACCTTAAGTAACTATAAAGACCAAAACAGAAGAGTCAATTTTTGACTAAAGTATTGTCTTCAATAAAATACTTACCTTACTATCCCCTGCCTTCAAAAGGAGCAAAAGGAAAAAAGGAGGAGACATATGAAAACTGATCATGAATAAAATGTACCAGTTTAGTGAGCAGAGTGAAGACAAATATTAAAAATTTGATTTATAATAAATTACTTAAATACATAAGATTTGTTTCACAAATATTTATTTTTATTTTTTATAGGTTTTAAAAATATATATATATATTTTATTGATTTTTTGCAGAGAGGAGGGGAGAGGGATAGAGAGTTAGAAACATCGATCAGCTGCCTCCTGCACACTCCCTACTGGGGATGTGCCCACAACCAAGGTACATGCCCTTGACCGGAATCGAACCTGGGACCCTTCAGTCCGCAGGCCAACGCTCTATCCACTGAGGCAAACCGGTTCGAGCTCAAATATTTAGATAAAAAGAATAACAAAATTATTCAAGTCATTTAAGTAAAATACCCCACAAAGTATCAACCAATTATAGTAGTTATCAAATTGTCATCAGAAACATTTTCCTGTTAAGTGAATAAGATATTTGACAAGCATTTGTTTTAACTATCACGTGTCTTATTTCACATTTGACGACAATAATGTATTTTATTTAAAATATGAAAATAATTACTTATACAGACTATTTTCTCTCCTCACAAGTATATTCAAAGTTGGTAAAAAGAAATATTTCTTCGTTTTTATTTCCTTTGATTCTTTCATTTCATGAAAATGAAGTCTCCTAACTATGAACCACATTACTGGCTTCTTTTGCCTCAACATTTTCAGAAGAATTTAGTAGAGCTGAATTATGATTTGAAAATAAGGTGTGAAATAATTTCAAAATAATTTTTAAAACATTAGCTGTAAAAAATGCAAGCTAACAGCAAAGATTACAATCACGACTGTCCCATACTCTCCACGAGCAGTGATATTTTCACCTGTCAGGACTTGGGTCACTTCAGCGATGAAGAAGAAAATTAAAGTGTCTTACCATAAAAGATGGCCTACATATTAAAATTAGGGCACACTTTCTGACATACTAAATTTATCTGATAAATATTTTTCTTTCTTTTTTTAAAAAAAATATATTTTATTGATTTTTTACAGAGAGGAAGGGAGAGGGATAGAGAGTCAGAAACATCGATGAGAGAGAAACATCGATCAGCTGCCTCCTGCACGCCCCCCACTGGGGATGTGCCCGCAACCAAGGTACATGCCCTTGACCGGAATTGAACCTGGGACCCTTGAGTCTGCAGACCAACGCTCTATCCACTGAGCCAAACCGGTTCTGGCTGATAAATATTTTTCTTTAAAAATAAATATAATAAATGAAAAAGACTTATGGAGCCCTGGCCGGTTTGGGTCAGTGGATAGAGCATCGGACTGCGACTGAAAGGTCTCAGGTTCGATTCTGGTCAAGGGCATGTACCTTGGTTGCCGGCACATGCCCAGTGGGAGGTGTGTAGGAGGCAGCTGATCGATGTTTCTCTCTCATTGATGTTTCTAACTCTCTATCCCTCTCCCTTCCTCTCCGTAAAAAATCAATAAAATATATTTTTTAAAAAAGAAAATGACTTATGGAAATGGCAAGTTCCTTTTCCCCTATGAAACACTTATCATTTTTCATGACCTGGGTGATATACTTTCCTTTAAGTAATATTAAGCACTATATTGCAAATATTCTAATTAGGAACATCCACATTTGCATATTTAAATATATTACTTTAATTAATATATAGGTAGCGTTCATTACTTTGTGAATATTTAATTTCATAGAGTGTTTCAGTATTAACCAAGGTACTCCTCAGGCTACTTTGTATTTCATTCCATGGGAGGGATGTCATTGGTAAAGACCTACTGTCTAAATTCTTTAATTTAAACCATAAATTAGAAGTCATTTTACCTCTGAGGAAACTGAGGCTCAGAGAGGATGAACAATTTTACAAGATTCACATTTATCATTTACACAACTGGTAAATGATAAAATGAATATTTTAACCCATTGTCTGAATTCAAAACCCATGCCATTTGCCTCCTATCCAGTTGCTTCAACCTTGAATCCTGTGCAAGTAGTCAGATTATGGTTTGGCCAACTTTTTTGAAACATACCTCTAACTTCATACTTTGCCTCTTTATACGTGATGACAATGTTGATGATCACCCATAAGGTGGCTCCTCACTGTTATTATTTGAGGCATACCATCATCAATAGGGGCATGTGGAACAGCTGTGGAGGCATCACCACCTCAATATTCCACCCAGAACTTCCGGTAACTTTGGAGTGAATGTCTAGTTCTCCCCTCTTCTCCATCACTATCATGCATCCCACCCTTCCAGCGTCTTCCTTTCCCCCAGATTCTTAAACCCATCGGTGTAAACTCTAATCCTTCTGCCAGTGCTTTCTTCTGATATAATTTCTACTAGCTGAGCTCCAATGCCCTTCAGCACTACCCTCACCAACTATACATTCACTTGAATCTTCCACAAATTCTGTTAATTGTGAATGCATTCCCTGTCTGTACTCTTGCCTCAAATCTTCTTACTAACTTCTCATAATAAAGTTTTCCTCATCACAACTTCTACAGAAGAGGTCACCGTTGTTCTCACCTCCCTCTCCCTTTGTTCCTCACTGCTATATCTGGATAATGTTTCCTTTACCATTTCTTAAAACCTCTTTGCTTCTGAAATCCATGAGATTCCCTGATCCACATGCCTCTTTTTGTTTTCTATCTTCCCTAATGATTTTAAAAGCATCAGGTTCACAATTTCTCTCTTAATCTGTCACCTAGCTTAGAGACTTTATTAAAAAGTTATCTCCCCACCCTAACCGGTTTGGCTCAGTGGATGGAGCGTCCACCTGCGGACTGAAGGGTCCCAGGTTCGATTCCGGTCAAGGGCATGTACCTTGGTTGCAGGCACATCCCCAGTAGGAGGTGTGCAGGAGGCAGCTGATCAATGTTTCTAACTCTCTACCCCTCTCCCTTCCTCGCTGAAAAAATCAATAAAATATATTAAAAAAAAGTTATCTCCCCTTAAAATTATTGTGTACATGTCCTTATTTTTGATTTGCTGATTCTAGACAAAGACCAGTAATTCCCATTAGAGACAAGCTATACTTTAACTTCCCTTTTAGAAAAATTTCTGAAATAAATATATCCTTGATTAAAGGCACATGGCTCAAAGGGCCTTTTCAAAATTTAATATCTCTCTCTGCTCATGTGCTTCCTAAAAAGTACATAGTACTAGGTTCAATTTTTATTATCTCCCCAACCCCATCACATACATTTATAAAAGTTAGCAAATAACATTCTTCAATTATATAGACTTCATATATAGCATCATTCCTTAAACCGATTTCTAAACAGTGTCACCACCAAAAAGTATACAAGGAAAAACATGGTTTTCTAAGAGGTACTGGGGACCGTATAATAAAAGAGTACCACTGTTATTTAGTTTTTGCAAAAATACATTCAGTTAAAGAATAAATTCAATTATTAATAGCAGTATCATTTTCTTCATCTAGATTTAAACTTGATTGTTACCTCTCATCAATTGAGGGTTCTTTTTGTTGCAAATGAGGCTTGATTCCAAACATTGGACGAATATTTGTTGATAAGGCTCTGATGGTGTAACTGATTTCATTCTCCCTTGTAACATCACTGTCGTAGCCTACCATAAAATACAGGAATTATTCATTAACTGATAACTGAAGAGACCAAGTATGTGATCTTATTATTTGGATACAAGAATTCTGTTCAATGATATGAAATAAGTTAAATAACGTGTATTATTACAGCCAAATTATAAAATAATATACAGCCAGTAAAAGTGATGTAGAAGAATATTTAATGATATGTAACAATGTTTCAAAGTATTACTAAGTGATAATAGCAGGCTACAAATATAAGTTCAATATGACACCATTTTTGTTTAAAACATACTATGTATATAAATGCCTTATTAATAGATCCCAAAATATTAACAGAAGTTGCCAAATATTAACAGAATTTGACCAACAGAAGTGGTCAAATTATGGATGCTGTACTTATTATTTACTGTAAAAGGTATTTTCTAACTTTTCTATAATGATCTGGTATTACCGGTATATTAGGAATTATTTTAAAACATGAGGTTAGATACTATAAATTTTTAAACAGTACTTATTCAAATATGATTATCTTACACTTGGAGATAAATAATATCTAAGTCATCAATACATGACAGCCTGTTCTTCTTGAGTCACAAAACCAATTTTGGTATTAAACAGACCAAATAGACTAAAATTACAATTATTCAAACATCAGTATTACTCGTTTCAGCTTCTGCAGCTTAAACCAGCTGTACTGTTTTTTCTATGTTCTAGTTAAAATAAGACTGTAAACCAACACACCCCCATCTTCTTCAGAGCCTGTATCAGATTCTTCACTATCACAAGGCCTTTTTTCTCGAGAGCCCTCCATTTCATTTGTCCAAACCATTAAGGACATATCCGCGCCTCCTAAGGTCACCAGCATGCTGTCATCACAAGTCCAGCGCACATTTGTGACCTGTGTACTATGAGCCACATACCTCTTAAACTTTCCAAATTTTCCCTAAAGATAAAAAAAAAAAAGCCAAAAAGTCATTCTGAGAAATTTCATTACTTGAAATCTTTGAGTTAAAATTTTGAATTTTTTTTAGGCTTTGAACAACTACTTCAAAAGTGAAACTAAAAATCGGAACGGACATCACCCAGAACCACAGGAACGCTGGCTGAGTGGAAGTCCTACAACTAGGAGGAAAGAGAAACGCATACGGACACTCAGAGGAGGCACAGTGCTGAAGTCAAATTCTGAGGTGCGGAGTGCGCGGAGCGGGCTGGCGGCGGAGGGCGCGGTTGGCGTTTTCAATCGGGAGGGAGTCGCAGACTCTGAGCTCCAGATCCGGGCGAGTCTCTAGCGACCCAGACTCAAACGGGAGAAGCGGGACTGTCTGGCTTAGGTCAGAGCGAGTGCAGCTTTCTCTCTGAGCTTTGCAGCGGGTGCTGGGACTCAGAGAGGCAGAGCCCCTGGGGACAGGACTTAGAGCCGCCATAACTGTTCTCCCCGGCCCACCCTGTTGATCCTGTGCGACCCGCCCCGCCCAAGCCCTGCACAGAGGCATTTGCCGGATAGCCTCAGGCAAAGGCCAGATTAGCACCTCCCTAGAGGAGAGAAGTTCTCTCACTGCTGACACAGCTGATTCTCATAGCCACTTGGCCTGGAGGTCAAACCCTCCCTGGAATTAGCTACAACAATCAAGATTTAACTATAAGACTGCGAACAAAGACCACTAGGGGGTGCATCAAGGAAGCATAACAAAATGCGGAGACAAAGAAACAGGACAAAATTGTCAATGGAAGATATAGAGTTCAGAACCACACTTTTAAGGTCTCTCAAGAACTGTTTAGAAGCCGCCGATAAACTTAATGAGATCTACAAGAAAACTAATGAGACCCTCGATCTTATATTGGGGAAACAACTAGAAATTAAGCATACACGGACTGAAATAACGAATATTATACAGACTCCCGACAGCAGACCAGAGGAGCGCAAGAATCAAGTCAATGATTTGAAATGCGAGGAAGCAAAAAACACCCAACCGGAAAAGCAAAATGAAAAAAGAATCCAAAAATGAGAGGATAGTGTAAGGAGCCTCTGGGACAGCTTCAAGCGTACCAACATCAGAATTATAGGGGTGCCAGAAGATGAGAGAGAGCAAGATATTGAAAAACCTATTTGAAGAAATAATGACAGAAAACTTCCCCCACCTGGTGAAAGAAATGGACTTACAGGTCCAAGAAGCGCGGAGAACCCCAAACAAAAGGAATCCAAAGAGGACCACACCAAGACACATCATAATTAAAATGCCAAGAGCAAAAGATAAAGAGAGAATCTTAAAAACAGCAAGAGAAAGAAACTCAGTTACCTACAAGGGAATACCCATACGACTGTCAGCTGATTTCTCAACAGAAACTTTGCAGGCCAGAAGGGAGTGGCAAGAAATATTCAAAGTGATGAATACCAAGAACCTACAACCAAGATTACTTTATCCAGCAAAGCTATCATTCAGAATTGAAGGTCAGATAAAGAGCTTCACAGATAAGGAAAAGCTAAAGGAGTTCATCACCACCAAACCAGGATTATATGAAATGCTGAAAGGTATCCTTTAAGAAGAGGAAGAGGAAGAAAAAGGTAAAGATACAAATTATGAACAACAAATATGCATCTATCAACAAGTGAATCTAAGAATCAAGTGAATAAATAATCTGATGAACAGAATGAACTGTTGATTATAATAGAATCAGGGACATAGAAAGCGAATGGACTGACTATTCCTGGGGGGGAAAGGGGTGTGGGAGATGCGGGAAGAGACTGGACAAAAATCGTGCACCTATGGATGAGGACAGTGGGTGGGGAGTGAGGGCGGAGGGTGGGGCGGGAACTGGGAGGAGGGGAGTTATGGGGGGAAAAAAAAGAGGAACAAATGTAATAATCTGAACAATAAAGATTTAATTAAAAAAAAAAAAGAACAAAAAAAAATAAAATAAAATTTTGAATTTTTTTAAATATATGACCAAGAATTAGTCATTATAAATACAACTTATACAAATTAGAAAATACTGAAATTCACTAGAATAAAATATAACAGTTCCCAAGCTGGTGAGGGTAGGGTACAACTAGTAGTTTCACACATTGCTAGTACCGTGGGCATAGCTTTTTTAGAAATCAACTTGTACTGTGCATTAAAAGCATAAAAACGTGCTGACCTTTCATTTACCAATCCCCCTTCTAGAGATCTATGCTAAAAAATGCAGCATGTGCAACAATTATTTACCACAGCATTTACTTCTAGCAGTGAAAAACTTTAAATACCTTAAATGTTCCTAAGAGTAATACTACATTGTATACCTATGGAATAATACATATCTATTAAAAACAATGACTATGAGACATATTGTTGAAAATAGAAACAATGATTTAGAAATCAGAATATAAATATCTATGTACAGGGTGGCCATCTTAACAAAAGTAATTATCAATCTTGTTGGTATAAACCCATGTAAATATCTTTTATCTTAATTCATTCATTATCTGTAAGCAACAAACATGACCATGTATTTTTGTTTTAAATATCAAGAAAAATACAAGTTCTAGAGACTGGCAACTTTTAAATCTTGAACAGTAGCATTACCAGTTACAGAAGTACATTTCAGAGTCATGTATCATAAGCAGGTTTCAGATGGACATCATTTCAAGGATTTTAATATAAGAAATATTTTAAATATATAAAACATAATGCCAGCTAAATCAGTAAACTTTCTGGGAATGAAAGTTAGCTGAAATAAAAGGGGGATCTGTCAACAAAACACTGCTAGAAGGTAGTTTCCCTAAGATTTTGTGGTTCTTGCTGCAATAGGTGAAGGAGGAATCTGTACAGCAATATCCCAGGACCTCTTTGCAGGGCATTTATATCATTTAAAATGCTCGAAGTGAAGTTTCTGACTAATAATGTTTTATTGGAACACATTCTTATCCTATTTAATAAAAGCTTAATATGCTAAGTGTCCAGTTGTCCGTTCAACCAATCAAAGCACAATATGCTAATGACATGCTAAGGCTCCTCAACCACTTGCTATGATGTGCACTGAACACCAGGGGGCAGATGCTCCGACTGGTAGGTTAGCTTGCTGCTGGGGTCAAGCTGATCTGGACTGAGCGAGACAGGCTGGACATGCCCTGGAGCCCTCCTGAGGTCCCCCCTCCCCGGCTGGCCAACCTCCCACATCTCTCCCTGGCCCCGATCGTGCACTGGTGGGGTCCCTTGGCCTGGCCTGTGCCCTCTCGCAAGCCGGGACCCCTTGGGGGATGTTGGAGAGCCGGTTTTGGCCCCATCCAGCAGGCCAGGCTGAGGGACACCACTGGTGCATGAATTCATGCACCAGGCCTTAGGTCAACTATAAAGTCCTACCACTTAAGTGTATATAAAGTAGATACACTACTTTCTTGGGCACCTGAGTTGTCTATGAGAATTTTTAAACTTGCGTTTCCACTTCAATGATGGTTTAAAAATAATAATATGAGGCCTGGTGGTGTTGCTCAGTGGTTGAGCATCAGCCTATGAACCAGGAGGTCACGATTTGATTCCCAGTCAGGGCACATGCCCAGGTGGCAAGTCTCGATCCCCAGTAGGGGGGCATCAGGAGGCAGCCAATCAGTGATTTTCTCTCATCATTGATGTTTCTATCCCTTTCTCCCTTCCTCTCTCTGAAATCAATAAAAGCATATTTAAAATAAAATAATATGAGCAATTAAGACCATCATGAACCAAATATCATATATGGTTTCAGTGCCCTATTTCAAATATACGTTTAAGCTCATGTTCGTGCCAAATTATGTATCTAAATTTGTGGCAATTAAGAATAAATGCATCTAGACTTGATACATGAATTTTACTTTTGTAATGTTTCCCAGTAGTTTGAATAGAGGAAAGCAATAAGAGAATTAAGTCATCACACACTAGCATAGACGTATAGTACATTACTCCAAAGAATTTGTACAGTTTGGTTTTAGCAAAATAACATCATTCATCATATTAAATCAATGTTGTTTATTTTAATTTTGTAGATATTATATTCATAGTATTTTTATTTTTTAAAAATATATTTTATTGATTTTTTACAGAGAGGAAGGGAGAGAGATAGAGAGTTAGAAACATCGATGAGAGAGAAACATCGATCAGCTGCCTCCCGCACATCTCCCACTGGGGATGTGCCCGCAACCCAGGTACATGCCCCCGACCGGAATCGAACCCGGGACCCTTCAGTCTGCAAGCCGACGCTCTATCCACTGAGCCAAACCGGTTTCGGCAGTATTTTTATTTAATTGATTAAAACATTAAATTTTAAAGGTATAAATATAAACTTGTTATTTACTGCTAATGATATATATTTAATCAAAAGAATATTAAATTATTTAAGTTATTAGGATGAAAGGGATATTTCCTTTAAAAGGAATATTTACATTACTCATTTTTGAGAAACACTGTACAACATAATATAACTTAAGACATGGATCATAAATTATAATACTTCTAGATAAAGCCATAAATGTGACATTAAGAACAGGGAACATAAGGTAGTTACAACTGGCTGCTTATATTTCCCTCCCATTTTCTCCTTTCTTCCTTTCCTCTTTCCTTCCTTTCTTTCTTCTGCTTCCTTTTTCCCTCCCTCCAGGAAAAGAAAAAAAAAAAAGAATAGGGAACATAATTCTGAACCTTTCATATTTCAACTTATATTACCCATGTAATATTGCTATTTCACTGCTGTAATGAAATAGCATTTCACAACTATGACATGCTATGAAAGGACATTAATGTTATAATTGTAATCATTAGAACAGTTAAAGAAAAACACATACTTTAGCGGGATATCTAAATAACTTCACAAATCCCAAATCATCCCCAGTGGCTAGAACCATTTTGTCATGGGTGAGGCAAGAGGCAGTTATATCTGTGACTTCTCCAATTACTGGCCAAATTCCCTCACAGCACAAACCAAGCACACTTGTCCATGATGCCCAACCAATTTTTTCTACCTAAAAAGGAAAAAAAAATACTTTAAGTTTGAAATATCTAAACCAGTGGTTCTCAACCTTCCTAATGCCGCGACCCTTTAATACAGTTCCTCATGTTGTGGTGACCCCCAATGTCATTGTTATAAATTGAACATAATTAAAGCATAGTGATTAATCACAAAAACAATGTGTAATTATATATGTGTTTTCCGATGGTCTTAGGCTACCCCTGGGAAAGGGTTGTTCGACCCCCAAAGGGGTCGGGACCCACAGGTTGAGAACCGCTGCTCTAAACCTAAGAGTTAACAACTAAATATAAATATTTTTCTTTGTAATTGCACACCATAAGTAAAATAAAAAATGTAATACAAATTATTAGTTGTCTTGGTTTTGTAACCTCCCAAACTCTCTAGTTCCTGCAGAAAAATTTTTTTTTAAATTTATCTTTATTGTTGAAAGTATTACAGATGTCCCTTTTCCCCAATTGACCCCTTCTAGCCCGTTCCCACCCCATGTCCCCGGGACTTCACCACATTATCTGTGTGCATGGGTTATGCATATATGCATGTAAGTTCTTTGGTTAATCTCTCCTCCACCCCCCCTCCCCTGCCCATCCTCCCTACCCTCACCTTCACTTTGAGATTCATCAGTCTTTCCATGTTTCTATGTCTCTGGATCTATTTTGTTCATCAGTTTATTTAATTGTTTAGATTCCACATATAAGTGAGATCATGTGATACTTGTCTTTCTCTGACTAGCTTATTTCACCTAGCATGATACTCTCCAGGAACCTCCGTGATGTCTGCATAGTATTCCATGAGTAAATATGCCACAGCTTCTTTATCCACTCGTCTACTAAAATTTTAACATGACATTATTAAAGATGTACTCATAGATACACTGTGTGTTCTAGTGATGAGCATGCAGTGATAAGGAATAAGCTTATTTCTGCCCTTTGAATAATCAAGGAAGTTATTCTTACCTTTCACATCTAAATTTCTACTAATACATTATAAGCATGTTTTCCAATTAATCACTGTTGGAAATTATGAACTTTTATTTACAGTCTCTTCCGTATTAAGCCACTTTCATGTTAAATTTGTTTAACCTCTCTTCCTCAGCCATGTCATGACAACAACTTTTGCTAATGTTGTCAGGCACAAAACTGAACACTTTATTTTCCTTTCTTTAAGCAGGAATTTGCCAATAAGCATTCTAAGCATATGGGTTCCAAAAGATTCGACCCCCCTGCAGTACTCTAATCTGGGGTGTCATGCCATCTGCTTGCTATGGCACACTTCCTGTGCTTTACGGAAGTCATTGGCGCATAGCTGGACGTAACGATGCTTTCTTACTACAGCATCTCTTCCTTTTCCCATCAATGTGGTCTGACCCCACAAAATAAACTCAGAAAAAGAATATCCATCATTTGAATAACCCAAAACAGGCTTCATGTGTAACTAAAGGAGAGTGGGCATCAGCTCTGTAACCATGTTTAGTCGCACCGACTCACAAGCTCTACTGTCTTCCTACCTCCATCCTGGGGATGGTTTGTCTTTTCCCTCTGGGAGCTTCAAAGAATAACTGTTCTTTAGCACCAGTGTTAACCTGTAAGAGTTTTCCTTCAGAGGAAGGCAAAAATACACACACATACACAGTCATATATTTATAATTTTATATGTTTATAATTTTATAATCTTAAAATAGAGACCATTACACACATAGCATGAAAACTTGAAATTATATAGAAAACCATTTAATAAAATTCACTTTTACTATATAAAAATATGAACCTTATATGTCAAAAGGAAAAATACTAGTTGATAAAAATTACAAAAGTCTATGATAACAAATAATTTAGAGATGCAAACTAAAACAAGAAATACCATTTTTTCACCTAACCATGCCAAAAATTAAACAAGATTTAACAATTCTAATTGCTGCCATGGGTGTGAAACCTGATGTTGGGCATATAATCTGATACAATTGTTCTAGAAGGAAGTTGGGACATTTGAATAAAATTTTCAAATGTGAAAAAATTACATACACAAATATAAAATACAAATACATATACATTTAGTATCATGTTTAACTTTTATGGGAAAAATTAAGTTTAAACACAAAAACCATTTTCCTTTGCAGTCAACATATATTAAGAACATTTGATTTTATTACTTTCTATATAATTAAGTAATTAAATTCATAAGTGGTTTCATTTTTGTGTATGTCTACATATAAAAACTATTTCTGTTATCATGTACATGAAAAAAAAACCTGAAAACTAATTTTGAAATTTTAAAATTTTGTTCAATAGTACTTAAAAAAAACTGATTTACAATACTAGATTTATAGAGATGAATACATGAAACAAAAATCCTTAAAAACGGTAGGTCAGTTGGTTAGAAAGTCATCTAGCTACATCTAGTTACAGGTTCAATCTCCGGTCAGGACATTACAAGAAGCAATCAATGAATGCAAAAATAAGTGGAACAACAAAATCATGTCTCTCTTTCTCTCTTCCTTCCTCATTCTCTCTAAAATCAATTTTTAAAAATCCTTAAAAATGGAGCATTTAAAATATTTAGCATTTATCCAAGCTTATTAAACGCTGTCATATGCCATGCATTCTGCTAAAACACAATGATATTAAACTGTGCATGTTATACAATTATGAATATAATTTTTAGGGAATGTAATTATATCAGACAAGGGAAAATCACTTTAAAATTCTAACATACCTACTTTCCGTTACTATTTATGTCAAGCTTTTTTGACAAAAACCAGGACAAATGAATAATATTATTTTGGGTAATATTTAAATTACTTTACAAATTAAAGAGTTTACACTTACTGTGCCATCATTTGAATTATACTGGAAGAAATACTGAAAAGTCTAAACTCATGGCATGCATCTTCAGATGTGAAATAAAGCAATGGAAAATAATTTTGTGAATAATTTCTTTTCACAATGCTTTTGAACTCATCTGTTGAATCACTTTTTGCTTCTCTAAATTAGTAATACTAAATCAAATGAAACTTTTACAAAATAGTAAGTTATTTAAATTCTTACCTCTAATGTCCCAGTCAATATGGGTGATATAACTCGTAGCGCCTTTGCATATTCCCACTCGTTTACTGCTCATTACATTGTATATATCCACAAAGCTGTCATGGGATGCTACTGCGAGATATTTTCCAGAACCTGTTATGGAAACATGGTTGCCTGTCATTTTCTACTTTTAGAAATGTTTTTTACATTGTACAACTAGAGTTGTATTAATATTTTCTGGGAGAAACTCAGTTGTTTTGTAAGTTATAACAAGCTATGTGTGTCAAATGATAGAAGGTGACATATTTTAAAAATATATTCTAATTAACAATAAGTAAGTTTTGTAGTGTAGTAAAGTAGTTAAGTGTAAAGCAAATGTCAAAAATTATATACAATATAATTTTGGTACACTAAGCATTTAAACAAAAACAACAAAAAAAACACAAAAAACACAACCTTATAAATTTAAGAAAAAAATAGAAGTAAACCAACATAGATACATTTTGCCTTAACATTAGTAATTCCTACATTATAGTAGGTTTTCTTATCAATAGTGTGTAGAAATTGATGAGAGAAAAATATAATTTCAAAAGCATTAAGATTAAAGTGAAGATAGTCCCTCCAATCCTTTTATGTTGCAAATGAAGAAACTGAAACTCAGAGTAGTGCCTGGGCCCAAGTCACACAGAGAATTTAGTGACTGGATTGTCATTTTGTCACTGATCTTATACAGGGCTTTTACCTCTCACCATACTGCATCTTCTAGTAAAAAAAAGTAAAATTCTTAGAAAAAATAACAGTTAATAGCCCTGGCCAGTGTGGCTCAATTGGTTGAGCATGGTCCCATGCACCAAGAGGTGACTGGCTCAATTCCCGGTCAGGCACACGCTGGAGTTGTGGGCTCAAACCCCGAAAAGGGGCATGCAGGAGGCAATCGACTTTGTCTCTCTCCCTATCCCTTCCTCTCTCTCTAAAAAATTAATAAAAGCATATTTTAAAATAACGGCTAATAAAAATCATGCATTGATTTATTTACACATTGCCAGACCCAAGTTAATAATCAAATGTGATTTCAATAGAATCTGACCTGGAGAGAATCGGATATCTGAAATAATATCTTTTCTGTGGTGAAAAGATACAAGATCCTCGAGAGTATCTGCATTTGCCATTAAGAAACTTCCATCACAGAGACCTACAGCTAAAGCTTTACCATCAGGAGAAAAACAGCAGCATCGTCCACCTAAAAGAGGAAGACAGTACACATCAGGCGACTTTCTTTTATTAAAAAAAGTATGTATTTAAAGAGCCTTTAATTTCAAAGAGGATCCCTATTCTTATTGTCACCTCAAATCAATATTAAAAAGGAATCAAGAGATCCAGGTAATAAAGTCTTCTATGGAAATCAATGGTACGGAATTCTAAGCAATAATTAATATAAACCATTCCCTCTTCTGAAAGTAACAAAATCAAGTACTGAGGCTCACCTTAAAAGAAATTAAGTCGCTGAACAAGAGTGAGAGTTTTCAACTAGTATAAAAAGCCAATGACATATGTGAAAAATTTTTTTGCGGGTGGGTGGTTACCTTTGTAGTTTCTAACCAACAAATCAGAAATTAAAGATATACAGTCATCTTTATAAAAATGCTTTCAAATTTTAAAAAATCTGAAAATAGTCAATTATTAGTTTCAGCTAGGAATATCTATCTATATATGTTTCAAAACCACACATGAAGAAATAATAATGTTAGTATTATTTTATTTTTTTTGAAAATAAGGGTTAGTGCTGCAGTGGCAGCCACATAAAAATGAGCTTTCCTAACAGTAGGGGATGCAGCAGGCACATTAAAATTCCTAAGACTTGATGCCTTGTGAAAAATTTGGAAAGGGAGGGATCGGGTACAGCTGTTATAGAATGAAAAATTACAGAATGAATTAGGATCAAGTAGTTATTTTATTATCAAGCATATAATGCAGAAATCTAAGCCATGGTTTTTGAGATTTAAGAGTCAAGAGATGATGACATGGAGCAGGGTGGCAGCAAAAGAGGTGATGAGAAATGGCAGGATTTGGATATTTTGAAAATAGAGCTGGCAAGACTTGGACGATGGACTAAGAGAAAAATACAAAAGTCAAGGAAGGCTATGTTTTTGTTTGAATGGTGATTCCATTTACTGAGATGGGGGAAAATTAGGAAAGGCAGAAATTTTGGTTTTATACCCACTAAGTTAAGGATGCCTATGAACAACTCAAGCGAAGACATGACAGAGCCAGTTCTTCTCTGGAGCTCCAGGGAGAAGAGGCTGAGGGATAAATATGGGAAGCAGTATCATACAGATAGCAGCTAGAGCCAAGAAACTGGATAACAACTTATTAATTTATTAGAGGCCCGGTGCATGAAATTTGTGCACTTGGGGGGGGGGTGTCATCCCTCAGCCCAGCCTGTGCCCTCTTGCTGTCCCGGAGCCCTTGGGGGATATCTGACTGACAGCTTAGGCTGCACTCGCCAGTTGTAAACCCGGCTCAGGGCTTCTGGCTGACGACCAGGGGGCAGCTCCTGTGTTGAGCGTCTGCCCCCTGGTGGTCAGTATGTGTCATAGCAACCAGTCATTCCGCTGTTCAGTTGATTTGCATATAAGCCTTTTTTTATATTGGATTGCCACTCAGCTCCAAATCCACCCTTTTCCTGGTATGTGATACTGTAGCTGGACCCTGTAGACATTTTCCCTTTGCCAGCTGCCTTGATTTTGGCCAGTAGGAGGTGCTGAAGGGCCCCTACAAGGCAAAAGCAGAAGGAAGGACTTTTCTGGGGCACTTATGGGGGAGTTTCTCTGACACCACAGCAGATCAGCCCTCTGGCAAGTTTCTTTTCCAAGGGCAGGTTGTAGTTCCTGTGACACCCACACCCTCTCCAAAAAGATCTGAATCTCAGCCTGGGGAAAGAGGGAAAGGGTCCATCCTCAGACTTCATTCCTTGTTCTTGTCCACTCGCCCTGTGGGTGGTAGCTGCTTTCTGCAGTTGCTACTTCTATATCCCTCAAGAATCCTTTTTTTCCAAACCCTTTTATTAGTTAACCCTTCATATTAAATTTTCCCTGTTCAAATTACTGGGGTATCAGTCAAGAAATTGTTTCTTGTTTCTTGACTGATATAGAATGGGTGCTGACGTGGTCATAGGAGACAGACCATTAAAGAGAGGACTTCTGGAATTGATTTGGTCATGTCTTTGGGCTTGAGCACAGTGCTAAGTCTCTGCCAATGAGAAATGGGATGCTTAGTAATACAAGGTATGCACTGGCATAACAATTAGTTAAGTTATATCCTGCGGTTGCTTATGATATGTACCTACTGAAATAAGTGCCCTACGAGTCCAAAAGGCTGTTGTCCTTGAGCATTACAAAAATAATGCCAAAACCGGTTTGGCTCAGTGGATAGAGCGTCGGCCTGCGGACTGAAAGGTCCCGGGTTCGATTCCGGTCAGGGGCATGTACCTGGGTTGCGGGCATATCCCCAGCGGGGGATGTGCAGGAGGCAGCTGATCGATGTTTCTCTCTCATCGATGTTTCTAACTCTCTATCTCTCTCCCTTCCTCTCTGTAAAAAAAATCAATAAAATATATTTAAAAAAAAAAATAACGATGACTACAAAGACTGAGTGCATGGACATTGATAGAAAGAAGTAGTAAGCTCAGGTCCCAAAATTCTCAGCACGAGTTATGGTCTGAAAAAAGAGAGAGCTTCCAGGTAAATCTTAAAAAAAAAATCTCTGACAGGGCTGATATTGCTGAAAATTAAACACAAAATTTAATTGCATTGGTTTAAAATTTACAACTTAAAATCAAAGCCTCACCAAGTTTCTTATGTGAAAGTTTAGGGCATTGATTGGGAAGAAAGGGAATGTTGAAACTTGGAATGCAATCATTGGGTTGAAATCTAACAAAACTGAGAATCTTGAGAGTACATTCCGACTCTCACTGGCCAGTGCAAAGAGACTGCTTGCTCTCCTGCCTACGAGAGGAGTGACTTTCTTAGGCAGAAGCCTTGGCAAGGAGACGTTTAGTCTCTGAAGAACCATCATAGCCACGCATTCCTCTGCTGTCACTAGTCCCCCAGCTTGGATCTCATCCAGCATGCTCTAGGGCAGAGGTTGGAAAATCTTTTGATGAAGGACCAGATACCGAATATTTTCACTTTTGTGGGTCATACAGTCTCTGTCACAACTACTCCACTCTGTATTGTAGTGCAAAAGTAGACTTAGATAATACATAAAGGAATGGGCATGACTTCGCTTCAGTAACATTTATTTATAAAATCATGGGCTGGGTTTCATCCATGGGCTAACACCTGATATAGAGGAAGGACTCCCAAAAGCTTAGGGAGATAAGAATGTTAAAATAGATTTTTCATATGCAACCTGCACACCCACCCATGACCTACACCCTCCAAAAAAGTCTAGAAAACATCCCCTCACAAAGGCACCGAGAAATACATTAAGTGAGGGCAGCATCTGCATCCTGGAGGAGCTCTGTGACTGTCCTCCTGTGTGGGTCAGAAATGGGAGGTGTCCCATTGATATGGGCTCCCTGTTTCAACCAGCATAACCTGAAGAAGCAGAGGCAAGAAGCATCACAACCACCAAATACCACGTGTGTTCTCTTTAGCAAAAAGGCAGCAGGGATGTAGTGATAGAATGTGTTGGCATGTGGGGATTTCTGTTGGTGGCTAATTTATCACGATGTCTCCAGAAATGAAACCGATGAGTAGACTACTAGATTAGTGATTGATCTATGTAACAGAAGAAACTCCATATTGGATGACTAAAAAACCTGACTTAAATCACCACTTAAATACCACAACGGAGAGTCACAGATTCTCAACTGCTTTTCAGACCTGAGCCAATTTATACTCAGAGCTCCTTGATTAAAGGGGAGGCCAGGCCCATTAAGGAAGAACTCCTCAGCATTGCCACAGTATGTAAAGTAAACTTCCTTCCAAGCATCCGTGGGCACTTAATAGGATGACTTTGACTGAGAAAAAAAATAGCCAAACTTTCAGGAATTACCAGACACAAGCTTTGAACTGACATTAATTCTTGAGCCTACAAAGTGCTGTGTTATACACCAGCAGGAGTGGGGCCTAAGGTGAGCATGTGGTAGGTGAGGATTTAGTCCAGTTGTGAATCAGGGCACTCAGGTTGTCTGTGGACCTCACCCAATTCCTGAATTTGAATAGATATACTGGGCAATCGGTAGGATCCTCTACACTGACTCTGTGTGCCATGGGGTGAGGTCATTATGACAGGAAGAACTAAGTGAAAACCCTCGAAATTCCTCTCTCTACCAAGACAATAAACCAGAATCAAAACTGCAAGCCTGACAATGCAAACATCAGTGACACCTCCAACGGCCGGCAACAGCAGGAGTGAGAATACCTGTCACGTCATCAAGACTTGCCTGCTTGGTCTGGGCTCAAATCAGGTGGATATTAAGGTTACAACTATGGATAATATGTTTATTCAGTGATGACTCTAATTGAAGTTACTCTTCCAGATGCATTCTTCTGGATCTTTCCTAGAGCACATTAGCACAGCCCCTAGCGTTTTGCATGCAGCCATTGCCTTGGTTAGTGCTGTTTTCTCCATATCAACTTGTAAGGACAACCACAAGCGGTTTGCTTTTACCTGGCTTGTATCTGTGTACACCTTCAAAGCCTTGCCTCAGGGCTATTTCAACTCTCCTGTTCTTTGCCATAATATAGTCCACAGAGATCCTGATCGTCTTGAGATTCCACAAAACATCTCAATGGTCCACTACATTGATGACATTATGTTGAATGGATCTGGGGAGCAGGAAGCAACAAGTACTTTAGATGCCTTAATAAGACATAAGCAAATCAAGAGCATGGCAGATAATCCCACAAAAATTCAGGGACCTGCCACCTCAGTGAAGTTTCCTGGGACCCAATGATCTGGACTATGTCAGGATGTTCTTTCCAAAGTGAAAGTCAAGTGGCTGTGCCCCACATCACCTATCACAAACAAAAGGAGCAAAATGCTTGGTCGGCCTTTTTGGGCAACATCAACCACATCTGAATGAGCTGCTTCTACCCATCTATCAAGTCACCTACAAGGCTTCAGCATCCAGGGGGGCCAAGGCAAGCTGATTTCCCACTGGGCCTGATGGCCCAGCAGCTCCAATGATGCTCAACGTGTCTGTGGTAAACAGGGGAGCTGCACGGAGCCTCT